AAGCAACACAAAATAAAAAGGACTCCACAGTGGTTAGAGAGCGCAGGGTCGGTGGTAAAGCATTCCCTAGTGAGGGGGCCAATGCCTGAAAGGCCCGACCACCTCTGGTCCTAAACCTAGGCACTACCAATAGCTGTTGGCCTGAAAATCTGAAAGCGCATCCTGGGTTGCAGATAGTAGATGGATGATATAATTGGGTGCCTGACCATGTAATGCTCAAAAATTAAAGAGAAAGATTTTGAACTGGATAGGGAACTGGGAGCCAGCGTACATTCTCTAATACAGGAGTGATGAGAGCTCTGCATGCTAATAGTCTGGTAGCGGAGTTTTCACCTGGAGACGTTCAAGCTCCTTTTTGCTTAGACATGCAAAAATATTGTTACAGTAATCCAACTGAGAATTAGATAAAAACATGCATTATCATCTCTATCTCCTTTTTGGAAAGTATAGTCCTAACTTTCAGAATATTTCTCAGTTGGAAGAGACATTTTTGACCAACTGACTTGTGTGTTGTGTCAGAGACATCTTAGATTCAAAAGGAACACCGAGGTTGTGGACACTCGATCAAGCCGAAGAGGCCAATATACCCAGGTGGTCTTTGATTTGGAGCTTATTCCCAGGAGTGATAATTAAAGTCTCAGTCTTACCAGGGTTAAGCTGGAGAAAGTTTGTACTCAGTCAACGTTTGATTTGGCACACAGTCCAATAAATGCAACTCATTCTCATAAAAGGTGCAGCACAGTTGAATATTGTCTGCATACAGGTGATATGATATATTGCTGAAATTGTCAAGTAACTGTCCAAGACGTAGAATGTATAGTAAAAACAAGAGGGGTCCCAAAACGAATCCGTGTGGTACTCCACTCTTAAAATCAGCTGTTTCAGAAGATATCTGATTTGCCAGAACAATAAAGCTTCTACAGGAAGGATATGACGAGAACCAATCCAGTACTGAACCTGACAACCGCTTTGTGGAAGTCTGAATTTGCATGCTAGCTCAACATTTAAGCTACAAACAGCCACATTTTTAAATACAGTGGGACAATAAAGTACTCAGTCAGCCACTAATTGTACAACTTCTCCCACTTAACAAGATGAAAGAGGCCTGCAATTTTCATCATAGGCATACCTCAACTATGAGAGACAATGTAGATAAAAAATCCAGAAAATCACATTGTCTGATTTTTAATTAATTTATTTACAAATTAGGATGGAAAATAAGTATTTGCTCAATAACGAAAGTCCTCCTCAATACTTTGTTAAATACCTTTGTTGGCAATGACAGAGGTCAAAGGTTTCCTAGAAGTCTTCACAAGTTTTCACACACTGTTGCTGGCATCTCAGATCTCCTCTAGAGCAGTGATGTTTGGGGCCTATCACTGAGCAACACAGACTTTCGACTCCCTCCAAAGATTTTCTATGGGGTTGAGATCAGGAGACTGGCTAGGCCACTCCAGGACCTTCTTATGAAGCCCCTTTGTCACCCGGGCAGTGTGTTTGGGATCATTGTCATGCTGAAAGACCCAGCCATGCCCTTGCTGATGGAAGGAGGTTTTCACTCAGAATCTGACGATACATGGCCTCATTCATTCTGTCCTTTACAGAAAAACAGCCCCAAAGCATGATGTTTCCGCCCCCATGCTTTGCAATAGGTCAGAATCAGAAGGGTTCTATTGCCAAATGTGTGAGAATCACAACATTAGGAAACTGCTGTGGTATGGTGTTCTTTGGATGCAACTTAGCCTTCGTTCTCCTCCAAACAAGACAAGTAGAGTGTTTTCCAGAAAGTTCTATTTTGGTTTCATCTTACCATATGACATTCTCCCAATCGTCTTCTGGATCATCTACATGCTCTCCAGCTGTCATGAGTTGTCTTGTCTCCCTAGTTTCTGTTCAGTCCTGTGTCCACGGTAACTGCTCCCACCTGCCTCTCATCTCCCAATCACTCACTGTCCCAGCTCCTCATGTATTTAAACCCTCTCAGTCCTGTTTGTCTTGTCTGTTCATTGTTTCAGCGTCCGCGTGCTTCCAAGATAAAGACCCTTAAATGTTCTCATCAGCCTACCTGTCTCAGCTCACCAGCATTTGGATCCTAACCTCAACCATTCGCCTTAACTAGCAAACCTCACACGGGTCTGCACTTGTACTGGCTTAAGCAGGGGGACATGTCCGGTACAGCAGGATCTGAGTCCCTTACTGATGGTGGCCTTTGTAACTTTGGTCCCTGCTCTCTGCGGGTCACTCACATGGTCCCCTGTGTAGTTGTGGGATTTTTACTCAACGTTCTTGTGATCATTCTGACCCCATGGGGTGAGATCTTGCATGGAGCCCCTGATTGAGGGAGATTATCAGTGGTCTTGTATGTCTTCCACTTTCTAATAATTGTTCCCACAGGTGATGTTTTCACACCAAGCTGCTTACCTGTTGCAGATTCAGTCTTCCCAGCCTGGTGCAGGTCTACAGTTTGTTTCTGGTGTCCTTTGACAGCTCTTTGGTCCTGGCCATAATGGAGTTTGGAGTGTGACTATTGTAGACAGGTGTCTTTTAGACTGGTAACCAGTTCCAACAGGTAACAGTAATACAGGTAACAAGTGGAGGACAGAGGAACCTCTTGCAGAAGAAGTTACAGGTCTGTTAGAGCAGAAATATTGTTTATTTGCAGGAGACCAAATACTTACGTATTTTCCACCATCATTTGTAAATGAATGATTAAAAAATATCTGAAATTGTGATTTTCTGGACTTTGTTTTTTCATTTTCCCTCTCATAGCCGAGGTGTACCTAAATTACAGGCCTCTATCACACTGACTAAATATTTTATGCCCCACTGTAGATGTCAACGTTCAGATGTAACGGTCTTTTTTAAGATGTGGTCCTAAATTTGTAGATTAACTTTTATACATTTACATTTGATTCTGGATATTTGGATTTAATTTATAATCACAGTCTGTGAAAAAGCCTTTCATGTAAGCTACAATAAAAAAAACATTCAAAGCTCCTTTCTTCAGGCTCCCCCTACAGTCACAGAATCAGATGGCTGCAGATTATGGTACAACACCACTAGTGACACAGAACCAGACACGCAGGTCTGGTGAGCTGCTAGAGACACACTAGCCCCCTTCAGACAGGCCATGAAAAACGGAAATGTCTTACGGACAGAGTCCGGAGACTCAGTCAGTAAGACCTTTGTGTCTGAATACAAACATCCAGATAATGTTTTCCGTAATTTAACCGGACGACGCCCCTAGTAACAGGTCCGGACTTGTTAAGGACAAGATGGCTGCTTCAGACTGATGAGGTCGAGTTCCGGACAGGGAGGAGGGGGAGGAGGAGGGGACCGGGGAACGCTGTGTGCACTTATGGGCCATTCCCATCTGTACCGGGTCGACCCGGGCCGGGTAGCGTAGGTTGTTTACATATCTGGGTGGCCTGGTATTTTTCCAGGCCAACCAAGGCTCATTCTCAGTCCTCTTCTCGAGGGGGTCTGGTTCAGGCCGACCAGGGCCAACACACCCACTGCTGACAGCAAATTCACACCTTCCATTAGAGCAAGCCTCTGATTGGTGGGTAGAATCAGCCCACATGGGCTTAAGGCAAGGATGTGTGAAATCAACCGGGCCAGGCTGGGGCCGACCCGGTACAGATGGGAATGACCCACTAGATAGCCCGCTGCTGTAGCATGCAGCGAACCATGGCAGCTCGCCTCCTACTGTACCGTCTAGACGCGCGACGGAGCGCTTCACACCACTTCAATGATTCCTGTAACCATTGAGCTTCATCATCCAGGTCTCTTATGCATCTTCGTGTGCGCAGAATTATGCTTAACATAAGTCTGATCCCCCCCCCCCCCCCCTCCCTCCCTCCCTCCCTCAGACATCTGGAACTTTTCCCTGCTGTGTGAAGGCAGCTGAAAGGACAAGTTCCGGTACAAAAGTGGTGTGTCTGAAAACACAGTTCCGGTTAAGAACTGGATTGAATTGTCCACACATTCCAGAATGTCTATCTGTAAAGGGCTACTAACACACACATACACACCAGTGTGTATCTGCGGTTCTGCGGTTCTGCTTCTGTGTTACTGACAGAGCAGCATTCCTCCATAAGCACGGAGAGTTCAGCACATCAGATCTGATCATGGATAACAAGAGATGGAGATGATGACATCTCAGTTGCTGCACTGGAGCACTAGATCAGGTCTGTACAAGTTCTTCGTTAGAGGCACGCATGCACACACACACACACACACACACACACACACACACACACACACACACACACACACACACACACACACACACACACACACACACACACACACACACACACACACACACACACACACACACACACAGCTTGGCTCATCCAGCCAATATCGGAACTTCCTGCCAGAGTTTGACGGTGGATGAACCAACATGCTGCAGTTCCTCTCCCTTCATCAGCTGCTCTTACTTCCTGTAAGAATTAAAGCTGCGGCCCAGTGAGCGGTTAATGGTCATGTGACTTGGACAGACTAGCTGAGCGGCTTAGTGGCGGACTAAAACTCAAACACTCTACCTTCTACAACAGCCTGACTGTGTGACGCAACGCCCACGGGACAGAGCCATTAAACGCACCATGTGAGACACAGAGGCCGATCCTGAAATAGCTCTAACAGTTAACAGCCTGAGTCCAGGTGAGAGTGTGTACCAAAAGAGACATTAGGATGGTTGTACAGGGCAACCCAAGTAAAAAGCAAAATGGCTGAAATCTGATGGTGACCTTTGATTTACAGCGACAGCAGCCAGTCAGAGGAACAGCTGTAATATTTCCAGTCAGACATGTTCAGCCAGGCAGGGATGGATGTGCAGCTGGGAAAACACGGGCTGCTCAGCCTGAGTCAGCTGTTTTATTCTTATGTTTACAGCTGAAAAAGCTCAGGCTCTCTACTTTCTGTCACAGCGTGTGTTGGCTTCCAGCTGCTGTGGATCAGAACCAGGAAGAACACCAACAGCTAGCACCTCTTACCTGAGTCTGTGTAGCCCTGGATAGCCTGTGAGTATTTATCCAGGGCATCAGCAAACTGTCCATTTTTAAACAGCAGGTTTCCCTCATTCTTTAGCCGGGACAGCTGTGGGGGCAGGGCCCCACACGGGGCATCAAGGTTGGCAGATTCTTCAAACTTCCCTCCACCTGCAGTTCCCTTACTGCTGTTGTTCTGATCACCCGGCACGGAGGCTGTTGATCCCCTCTTGTCTGATCCGTTGGCTACCTTTTCCTTTGACTCCTGTGGAACTTTGTACTTGTCTGGGCTGTTCCCTTTGCTCTTCCAGTGTCCGTGGTGGTGGGAGTTGCTGGACTCAGTGTGTGGACCCCCGTCCCCTCTGCTGTGGGGCTTTTTCTGAGTGTTGCCCATGTCTCTCCTTTCAGCAGGAGCAGCAAATCTCTCCTCCCCTCCCACAGGCTGGCTAGGTTGAGCCGGACAAGCTGGAAGAGTGAAGGAGGAGGAGGAAGCACATTGACAGGAAGGAGTCAGTGATTACGTCAGTGAGGGGGAGGGGTGATCTGTTAGACTTCAAAGGGGGACTTCCAGGAAACTGGAACTCACAAAAGAGTATGACGGAAGAGGGAATCACACACACGCACGCACGCACACACACACACAGACAGATTCTTATCTAGCATTCTTTGTGAGGACCATCATTGACTTCCATTCATGTTAGTGACTGCCTAACCCTAGACCTAACTAAAACTTAATTCACACCACAGCTCCTGTAGAGCTCTGTTACGTAATACCAAAGTGAGGACCAGCAAAATGTCCTCACTTTGATGTATAGACGAGTACACAAACACACACACACACACACACACACACACACACTCACACACACACACACACACACACACACACACACACACACACACACACACACACACACACACACACACACACACACACACACACACACACACTTTTGAATGTTTCTGATGAAGCAGCTCAGATACTTTACTCGTGTTGGGGAACTTTCCACCAAGTCAAACAAGTTAAAGGGGACATATGACAATTTCTTAAAGATGTGGTTCACCGGGTTTCTAACGATGATTTCTGATTCTAACGGGTCACTCTGAGTGTTTGGTGTAGGATGAACATGAAAATAGTCTCCTACACCTATCTCCTGCAGTAGCTTCTGATAGAAAATAGGCGGTGAAACTCTAGGATTAGAAAAGCCTGACAGATCTACGTCACACTATGAATTATCATCCATGGCCCCGCCCATTTTGGCTTGCACCTACCCACAGGAAGGCTTTTCTTCTGCAGCGAGGAGAAATGGTGGAGAATATCTTGGTGATGGTGACTTTGCAACATGGCTGAACCTATATATCGATGGGCTGAACAGATAATCAGCAGCGAGGTGAGTGCATATCCATTCAAACCAGAACCTCTCACCAAAAGAACAGTTTCTTCCCATCTGCGCTCAGACTCATGAACGACAATCCCAGGGCGGCCCACTCCAGTGGCTTGGTCTGAGTCACATGACCCTGTGTTGTGGTTGCACCTGAACTGATCCGATCAGTACAGCAGCCGTTTCTCTATGGCCTTCATTTTATTATTTTATTACGACTATATTCTTACTTCCTGTATCTGCTAATCCCTGATTCTTTAAAGGGACTTTATGGAGTTTTGAATTTTTATGCTCGTGATTGCCCCCTCAGGCCAAAAGCGTAACGGCAGCTTCAATAGTAGGCTCGTGTACGAGGCGCACATGCTGTACATGCACACTCAACAAAAATAACAGCTGAGACATTCCCGTGTGAGTGTGTGTGTGTGTGTGTGTGTGTGAGTGTGTGTGTGTGTGTGTGTGTGTGTGTTTGTGTGTAGCCCGGAGGACAGAGGGCAGGAGAACGCGCAGCTAATTAATTAAATAATTTGGTTCTGTACCTTTCTCTTCAGCACAGCTGACAAAGGTTTATGATGGGTCAGTCCTCCTGCATGCTCAGACCCTTCCCTTCCCTTGCTTGAAAAATTGTTCCAAAATGAAAGTTGAACCTACATCTTTTTTATGTGTGAATTCAATGCTGTTCGGCGAGTCTCAAATAAAAATTTGGGCATCTTACTGAAAAAAATATACCATTAATGTAAAAAATAAACTCTATATAAACTATGTTCACATCCAGAATCAAACCCAGGTCTTCTGCACGAGAGTCCGACATCTTACTAGGTGAGCTAAAGCGCCAATGACGTCTTTCGTATCTGTAACATTTATATCCTTGATTACAGCTGAAACAACGTTCAAAGAACGGTTCGGAGCGAAAATGGCAATTTTGTTGCTAATTTGCAGGAAAAATCTAGAAGAAAGTAGCTAAGGGTCCTCAGAAATGTAGCTAGGTTCATCACTAGGCGTTAGGAACAGCGACAAAGTCGCTGAGTTGGCACTGCCTCTCTCTCGGCTGCTAAAGCTACGGATAGCAAATGCTAGGAGCGATGCCTGAGCGTGAACGCGCATGAAGCAGCCTGCTCGACCCGAGCAGCTCTCTTTTTCTGTGATTTTACAGAAAAACAGGCAATCACAGTAAAAATGCCAGGGCTCATTCTACAGGACCAGGGCATTGCAGGAGAATGTATGAAGAAGTAATTTATTATTTCTATACATGTTTTGGCTGTCAAACTTCCAAAATGTCCCTTTAAGTTACAGCAGTTCTGTGGTCAATGATAAACATGTTCATCAAGTTATTTACACCTAATCACTCTGAGCACTGCTGCCACCTAATGACTGGGGGTGCTGTAGCAGTCCAGCATGAAAAAGAGATGCACACCCCCACTAAATGAGAAACAATGTTTTCAGAAAAACAAGCTGGATTTAGCCACGCCCATCCCTCTCCCGCTCAGGATGCTATTAGCTGAGAAGTTCTGATATCCAGGAGGGGCTTGGAGTAGAGTTGCTGAGCTTTATTTAATGAAACTGACTAAGAAGCTGTCAGAGAACCCTGATCTACTTACAGAACTGGAGACGCCACATGAAAATGTGTGTTTGAAGCAGATTATTGTGTGAGTGTGTGTGTGCACATGTGCGTGTGTGTGTGATGTCTCACCAGTCTGTAGTTCTTTCATGGAACAGCTGTTTTCCTCTTCAACCTCCTCAATAAAGATTTTCTTGCTCCTCTGCTCTTGTTCCAGTTGACATTCTGACATCTTTTCCTCTATTTTAGACAGAAGTTGCTACATTACATAAAAAATTTGTGTTAGGATTTGTTAAAGGCAGAAAACAAAACCATTTCTGGAGGTTGGTCAACAGACTCTGGGTTTGTTGCCAGAGTTGAACAGGTTACATCACGTAGACGTAGAGTATAAGTGTAAACTGACTGGATCCTTCACAAAACGCTGTATGAAATGTAGAAATCTAGTAGATTCTAGTAGTAGTGCTACACATAGAGCCTACCTAATCCTCAACAAGTACCATGACACATAGTGGGCCCTAAATGAAGATGCTGTGTAGCTCTGGCACTTACAGTGGCTGCAATGTTATATGGATCTTGCCTCAACACCCCCCTCAGATCCTCAGAGGCCAGCTGAACGTTCCCCATATGATTATGAACAGTAGCACGACGTAGCAGGGCTAAAACCACAAATACATTCATGATACAATCACAGCATTGAATCTGAAACCACATCTCACGCACTCATGTAACTACATCCAGAATAGTGCAAGGTTTAAGTCAGGACTAGAGGAAGATCACCTTTTTTATTGTCTGGGTCTAGCTCCAGCACCTGCTGACAGTCTCTCATGGCATCGTGCCAGCGACTGAGGTTGATCTCTGCCTGAGCTCTGTTGTTGTAAGCACCAACAGTAGGTAAGATGGAGAGGCTCCTGTTGGGTGAACAACACATCAAACTCAGATGACTTGAAAGGACCATCGACTTAACACCATAGACATGAATACGTAGATGCCCCATTGGGTGCTGTAGAGTGTAACAGCATCGCCGCCATATTGGATGGGTTTCTCACTCTCCGAGTCCGAACCCAACTGGAGTCAACACAGGGAGAGCAACTAAGCCCATTTTTTGTGAAGCCTATGGTTGGAACAACCAGCACACTACTGAACATGGATCACATGGAATTACAACTGACTTTTTTAGCCTAACCTATTATTTTATTTATATTTTAACTATCACGCCATTCCATGTGTCTGATTTTGTAAAAAGCACCTTCCGAAACACCTCCCTCAGCAGAAATAAATGCACTGGGGGCAAAAAGGAGACCCATCCCAGATGGTGACCGGCCACCACAGCAGCTCCTCCACGACTGGCAACGCCAGTCCACAGGGTCTGTGCTTAACACAGTCTGAAACCAACATGCTGGTTTACTCTTGGACCACCACCACTATTTTAACCCGGGACCAACATTACAACTATTCAATCATATAGCAGTGAGGTTGTATCTGCACAACTCCAGAAAAAGCACAGGAACGTGCATGACATTAGCTCTGCATGCATTCTACATTATTTCATAGGCTGCAGTGGCAAAATGCATTCAGACTTTAAAGTCAGAACTCTTAGATTAACGTCAGAATTCTGAGGTTAAAGATTAAATTCAGAATTCTGACGTTAAAGATTAAAGTCAGAATTATGAGGAAAACAGTAAGAATTCTGAGATTAAATTGAGAATTCTGAGGCCAAATATAGAAGTCAGAATTCTTAGATTAAAGTCAGAATTCTGAGGTTAAAGATAGAAGTAAGAATTCTGAAATTAAAGATCAAAGTCAGATATCTGAGGCTAAAGACAGAAGTCAGAATTCTGAGGCTAGAGACAGAAAACAGAATTCTGAGGTTAAAGATAGTCGTCAGAATTCTGAGATTAAAGTCAAAATTCTTAGATTAAAGTCAGAATCCTTAGATTAAAGTCAGAATTATGAGATTAAAGATAGAAGTAAGAATTCTGAGATTAAAGATCAAAGTCAGATATCTGAGGCTAAAGATAGAAGTCAGAATTCTGAGATTAAAGTCAAAATTCTTAGATTAAAGTCAGAATTCTTAGATTAAAGATAGATGTAAGAATTCTGAGATTAAAGATCAAAGTCAGATATCTGAGGCTAAAGATAGGAGTCAGAATTCTGAGGCTAAAGATAGGAGTCAGAATTCTGAGGCTAAAGATAGGAGTCAGAATTCTGAGATTAAAGTCAGAATTCTGAGGTTAAAAATAGAAGTCTGAATTCTGAGATTAAAGTCAGAATTCTTAGATTAAAGTCAGAATTCTGAGGCTAAAGATAGAAGTCAGAATTCTGAGGCTAAAGATAGAAGTCAGAATTCTGAGATTAAAGTCAGAATTCTGAGGCTAAATATAGACATCAGAATTCTGAGATTAAAGTCAGAATTCCGAGGTTAAAAATAGAAGTCAGAATTCTGAGATTTGTCAGAATTCTGAGGTTTAAGGGTGAACTCAGAATTCTGAGGCTAAAGATAGAAGTCAGAATTCTGAGATTAAAATCAGAAATCTGAGGCTAAAGTCAGAATTCTGAGGCTAAAGATAGAAGTCAGAATTCTGAGGCTAAAGACAGAAGTCAGAATTCTGAGGCTAAAGATAGAAGTCAGAATTCTGAGGCTAAAGAAAGAAGTCAGAATTCTGACGCTAAAGATAGAAGTCAGAATTCTGAGAATCCAGAACTGCGCTGCTCTGGGTGGCTGCATGTTGGAGTAGCTCTGTTGACTATATATAAGTTTAGCCTTTTCTTGGACATTTTTTCTTCTAGTTTCTCAAGAAAAACTGTATTTTTTTGGGACATTTTACTTTTCTGTTTCTGGTGCTGTGAAGCTTGGAGGATTTTTACTGCTATTTTTTCACTTTTTACACTTTTTGAATATTTGTTATGATGCATAACCATGGCAACAAGCTGGTTTACAATTGGGAGCAGCTGATTAACATTGGGAAGGCTGAAATAATACCTCAACTGAAGCCACACATCCCAAATTAGCTAAAACACAAGAAGCGTGGGTGCACAGCGGGAGCAAAACAGAGACAGAGAAAGAGGAAATTGAAACCATCTCTTCAATCGATCATAATGGGCTATGTGAGATCACTGGCCAACAAGATGGATGAACTCCAAGCCCTTTCAAGGACTCAGCCAGAGTATCGGCAGTGTAGTGTTATGTGTTTCAGTGAGATGTGGCTGCAGGACCATATCCCCGATTCCAACGTCTCTCTGCCAGGATTCCTGACTGTACGAGCAGACAGAGATCTGAAGAGGAGCGGGAAAAGAAAAGGAGGTGGAGTGGCAGTGTTTGTCAACAACAGATGGTGCCATCTAGGTCATGTTTCAGTGAAATGTTGTCTCTACAGCCCAGATGTTGAACTCTTGGCAGTAAGTTGTTGCCCATATGATTTGCCAAGAGTTTACCAGTGTTGTCTTGGTAACCGTTTATATTCCACCTTCAACCATTGCTGAGAATGCATGTGATGCCATCAGTTCCGTTGTCGCTAAGCTACAAACCCAGCACCCCAATGCATTTGTGGCTATATCTGGTGATTTTAATAATGCCTTGCTCTCTGATACACTTCCAACATTTCAACAGTTTATCAGCTGCTCCACCAGAGAAAACAAGACATTGGATTTGTGTTATGCAAATATAAAGAATGCATACATGTCCAAAGCAAGACCTCCTCTGGGACAATCAGATCACAATCTTGTTTTTCTCTGCTCAGAATACAAACCACTTGTTCAGAGGCAACCTGTGACAAGAAGAACTGTGAGAAAATGGTCACAGGTCGTTGAAGAAGCCCTGCAGAGTTGTTTTGAGACCACAGATTGGATGACTCTCTGCCAAGGATATGAAGAGGACATCAATGCCATGACTGGATGTGTCACTGACTATATAAACTTCTGTGTGGACAACATCATACCCACCAGAACAGTGAGATGCTTCGCTAATAACAAACCCTGGATCACCAGTGAATTGAAGAATCTGCTAAATGAGAAAAAAAGAACCTTCAAGGAGGGAGACAGGGAATTATTGAGGAGTATACAGAAGCAACTGAAGATCAAGATCAGAGACAGCAAGGAGGCATACAGGAAGAAGCTGGAGAACAAACTACAGAGGAAAAATATCAGAAATGTCTGGTCAGGGATGAAGAAGATCACAGGCTTCAAGCAGAGGAAGGATTGCACAGATGGCAGCCTGGACACAACCAATGAACTGAACAAGTTCTTCAATAGGTTCAGTTCAGGAACAAACCCAGCATCCTCCTCGCCTGTCCCCAGCCAATCAGACACCCCATCCTCCTCTGATCCAACATTTTCCTGTCACACACCTGCTCTTTTGTCCTCTAACGCAGTCATGGACTCTTCTGGTTCTATAAATCTGTCTTCAACCAAGTCAGGAGAGATGCTGCTGCCCCATTTACCTCCCCTCCCACCTATCTGTCTCTAGAAGTCAGGTGAAGAGGCAGCTGGAGAGAGTGAACAGGAACAAGGCTGCAGGTCCAGATGGTGTCAGCCCCAGGGTACTGAAGGCCTGTGCAGAGCAGCTCTGTGGGATTCTGCAGCACCTCTTCAACCTCAGCCTGGCCCAGGAGAAGATTCCAGTCCAGTGGAAGACATCCTGCCTTGTTCCAGTTCCAAAGAAAACTCGCCCATCAGTCAGTGACGACTGCAGACCGGTTGCCTTGACATCCCACATCATGAAGGTCCTGTAGAGAGTCCTGTTGGTCCACCTGAATAAGCAAACTAGAACATATCAGGACCCGCTGCAGTTTGCTTATCCCATGGAGTTGGAGTTGAAGATGCCATCATCCAGCTGCTTCAACCAACCTACTGTCATCTGGACAAAGCAGGCAGCACTGTGAGGGTCATGTTCTTTGATTTCTCCAGTGCATTTAACACAATTCAGCCTGATGTACTTTGCCAGAAACTCCAAAAGACACAGCTGGGGACCTCAACTATTGCCTGGATTAAAGACTACCTGACAAACAGACCACAGTTTGTGAGGCTGAAGAACTGCACATCAAACCAGGCGATCAGTAACACACTGGGGACTGTACTGTCACCATTTCTTTTCACCCTGTACACCTCAGACTTCCAGTAAAAATCCGAGACCTGTCATCTACAGAAATACTCAAATGACTCTGCAGTCGTCGGGTGTATCAGAGATGGACAGGAAGCTGAGTACAGAGAGCTGGTGGAGCGCTTTGTGGCATGGTCTGGAAACAATCATCTGACCTTGAATGTGAACAAAACAAAGGAGATGATTTTAGACTTCAGAAGAAACAGGGTGGAGTCAAACACTGTTTCCATCATGGGAGAAGAAGTGGAGGTGGTTGAGGAATACAAATAACTTGGAGTTCACCTGGACAACAGACTGGACTGGAGAAAGAACAGCGAAGCCATTTACAAGAAGGGACACAGCACACTGCACTTCTTGAGGATGCTTAGGTCCTTCAACGTCTGTAGCAAGATGCTGCAGATCTTCAACAAGTCTGTTGTTGAGAGTGTAATCTCTTCAGCCATCGTCTGTTGAGGTAGTAGCATCAGAAGCAAGGACTTGAAAAGGCTCAACAGCCTAATAAAAAAGGCTGGTTCTGTTCTGGGGACGACTGTGGAACCACTGGAGGAGATACTGCAAAGAAGGATTCTCCAGAGAATCAAGAAAATTATGGACAACCCTGAGCATTCTCTTCACAAGACTGTCCGACAACGGAAGAGTGTCTTCAGTCAGAGGCTTCTTCAGTTTTGCTGCAACACTGACCGCTACTGGAGATCCTTCCTTCCAACAGTCATTGTAATATACAATAACCCTTTGATGACTTGATTATTATTATTATTCTGAGCTACTACAGCAATCAATTTCCCTCTGGGATTAATAAAGTATTTTTCAATTAAAGTCAGAATTCTGAGGCTAAATATAGAAGTCAGAATTCTGAAATTAAGGTCAGAATTCTGAGGCTAAAGAAAGAAGTCAAAATTTATTTTCTGTAGAGGTCGTCACGTTGGTTAGTGGTGTATTCACAGGTGTTGCAGGTGAAACAGTTTCAACAGCCGTCACCGATGCTTTGGAACAAAAACTGGCAATTGATTGCCGAGATTCCCGGCAGCTAATGGTGGCGGTTTTGTGGCTAGCTCCATTCATGTGGGATTTGATAGCGCAGATGCCCATCGAGGCGACATTAATCTTCTTTTTACAAATCGAACAGTACGCCTCCTTATCATTGTTGGCCACAGGCTTAAGCCATGGTTGAAAATCATCCACATCAAGCCAAGAAAGAACAAATTTACGCTTCCCCATTTTGCTTCCACCATCTTCTCCTTGACTTGACTAGATACGTCACATCCAAGGTGGCCAAAGTCACGTGGTACAGAAACGCATGAAAACGGCTGGCAGAGACCTAAAAATTGGTTTATTTTATTACCTTGTCACGTTTATTTTTAATAAACAGACTTATTATAAATACACATCAATACACACCAAATTTAAGACTTCACTTAATGGATTTAAGACATTTTAAGACTTTTTAAGGGTCTTGATTTGCCTAAATTAAATTCAAGACTTTTTAAGACTTTTCAAGACCCGCAGATACCCTGCACATGGATCAAAAGTCCAGTCAGGGCCTTCACACCAGCTTCGCTGCAGAGCAGATCTGGATGTGGAGCTCCAGACAGTTAACACAGGCAGTCTATATTATCCAGACGCTGCATGCGGATTATCAAAAATTAAAATACAGGAAGTGAGATGCATTTTAGCGAGGTGCATCTGGTTAATTTCTAATTAAAAACCGTGTTGCATTATTTTTGAGGGCTTTTGTTTTATTATTATTGATGGGATCAGTTCATAGTGAACTGTGTAATTTCCACAAGTATACTGATAACCGTACTGTGTCAGAATTTTAATCATCTGGTGGTCTTGTGGGAGACTTTACGCACCTGAACTGCAGTCAGTCAGAATGGCAGTCAGTTTGGACGCTGTACGGAAACCGGAGCACACTCAGTGTGAAGCAGGCCTTAAGATTGGCAAGTGTCCTGTATTTATAGTACCCTAGAGACAAACAACTCCTCAAGGTGCTTTACAACACCTATTCACACACTGGTGGTGATGGGCTACATCATGGCCTCTGCTGCCCTGCGGCTCACTGACAGAGGAGAAGCTGCAGTACGCAGGCGCCACCGGTCCCTCCGACCACCACCAGCCGGCACGAGGATGAGTCTTTAATGGGTTACAGGGCAGGCTCTTAACTCCTCGGCCACTGTCACTCATGGGTTTATCCCCACAAACAGCACAAGCCTGAACATGTTCCACCACGTTATCGAGTTGCTAATGCTAACGGTTAGCTTCTATTAGCCGAGATGCACTCGGCTCTCTTTGGGACATAACATCAGTACAGCCTTCTGTAGTTGAAGTCATGAGGGGCGGGTCCATGAATGCTACTTTTCCCTGTGATGTAATGGAGACTGGCTTTTTCTGACCCAGCTGTTTCCCCATCTAAAGCAGAGAATAGGGGTCAAATAAAACTTTCATGTTCAGCATGAATATGAAACCGATCACATTTATAAAGAACGAGTACTACATACACAGTACTACATACACAGTTTCGCAGCTAATGAACCATTTAACACGATGCTCCAGGGCTGGTTTTCATCATAGTCCAGGAAAAACTTTAATTTGACAAACTCCTAGATGATCCTTCTGGACAACTTAACTAAATGTCTTAATGACCTCTACTACAGTTTGCTCAGAAAAGTGACCCCGCTCCCTCACGAGTCTGTTGAAGACTAGACTAAAATCAAACAGATGTCCCTCAGATTTCCCGAATCATACCTGGAGTAATATGTAACCGCCTCTTTGAAGTCCTTCGCTCTGAAAGCTTCGTTTCCTTTGTCCTTCTCACGATTCGCTAGAAGGAGCTTTTGCCGCTGTGACAACACTGGATCACACACAAAACTCAGCAACTTCAGCACATTTCACTTTTCACCTCTACTATAAACTGCACAGGTGTTGTGATGCATTACATGAACTAACGTCCGCCTCTTGCTTGAGTTTGGGATGTTGTGTGTCTAGAATGGCCGGTGGATCCTTTTTGAGCACATCTCCATCTATGTTGTCACATTCTTTTTCTACATCGAACCTGGAGAAAATATAAGTGGATAAAATGATTCTGCTAAAACGACCTCCTTTGGTTTCACAGCAGCGCAGGAATGAAAGTCTTCACTTAGCATCTGTTCGTGCATATTCAGCATTCATTCACACTTCTGAAGGGACTTACTTGTCCCATTCTCTGTAACCACGAGGAACAGCACGTTTTGAGGGATTCTTCCTTGCTTCTGGAAACAAACTCTGCAAATAAAAAATAAAATTAATCCTTGCCTGTATTGAATAATCCAGTGTATGTGTGCTGTATTCGGTTTAAAATAGGTTCACCTGGCTCGGGGAAACTAAGCATCTGGAACCCCTCACAGGTGGCATTTTTGACTTCACCAGATCATCAAACAAGTCCTGTTTAAGCAACATGTCAGTCCTTTTGGTGTCTTCTTCCCATGTCTATAACGAGCAAAAACATTACATATCCAAAGACCTCAGAAATCAATCACAACCTAGAAGACTTATTAGTGTAAAGGAAGGCTCCTCCACCTGTAACTCTTGGAGGATTTGGCTCCACTCGTCTTTAGAGAAGCTGGCTGCTGTGGCTGCAGACGTTTCCTTCCGGAGAGCTCGGCTCTTGGGCTGCAGCTTCTCCAGGTGGCTTTCACAGAACTCCGTCAGATGAGAGTAAACACCTTCTTCACCAGACCTGCACACACCATACCATATCATACTTTATTTATATAGCACATTTAAAATGCAGCATGGGAGCTGCCCGAAGTGCTGCACAGGCTGGACCAAATCACAACTAATCAAAGCAACAAAACAGAAGATAAAAATACTGATCAATAAAAGCAAATAAAACATGAGGAATACTAAGAATACATTAAATTAACAATAAAACAATAAAATGAGCCACTGTCTAAAAGCCAAGTCGTAGAAGTGGGTCTTTAAACAAGATTTAAAAAACACCAATAAACGAATCCATCCAAGCATCCATTTGACCCAAATAAAGATTCATGAGAAAAGTGGAGTTTTTCTTTCAATTTGAACAGAAATGAGCAGCTTGTACCTCAGGTTGTGCTGTACCCATGGGTGCACCTATCAGACCCTGTGTTTAAAACGGTCTTCATTCCTCGTGACCCTGACTGGCCTTAATGGTGATGTGTTGACACAATAAGAAAATTTCATGGCTTCATTTGTCATACTGAGAAGGATGAAGACATTTTGTCCACGTTTTACCGTATATGAAATGATATACCAAAGGTTACAGAGTATTTCTATCCAGGCCACAAAGTAACTCAGTGCCCAAAACACTGTAACTGTAGAAAAGTCTGCTGTCCTGCTCAGATCAGTCCGGATTCTGCTGTTTGGCTCCTAAATCTTGACTTTATTACTGTTTCTCATCCTCACAGAATATGAGCCAAACAACACTGAAGAATACATCTCCCTCAGCCTCTGAGGATTTACAGGTGTATTTGTTTTACCTGAGCACTCTCAAGATCTTCTCCAGGTATTTGACGTCTTTGCATTTTTCTATGTAGCCATAGTCCAGGTGTTCTGCAGGGACCTTCCGGCTGGAGTCCCAAACCGGGTTTTGATGAGCGGCACCTCCACTCATGGCTGAGAACAAACATATCTATGAGGTCACGTGACAGCAGTTTATCTTGTGTTTCTGAACACCGCCTTACCTTTGATGAAAACGGTGTTAGAAACGGGCAAGTTTTCACTTCCGGTCAGTCTGTAAGCTAAATGCAGTGTTTTTGTACCGGAAAGCTGGACAGTTACAATAAAATGGCTACTTTACCTGTAGGACTCCCAGCCGCCCAGAGTCCGTTGCTATGGAAATCATCCGTTTCTATGGCAACCATACACAAGTGTTCGGTGTTCTGTCGAAAAAAGTGTCCTCGTGAGTTTCAATTCGTTCTCAACAGCTCTGCTGTTCTGCTTTTGACGTAAAAGACGCAAGAGGAACCTGAAGATCTACTGAAAGTTTCACTTGCGTTTGGTTTATGTTAAAACCACACGACATGAAGAAGTCTTTTGCTTTTATTATTCAAGTTATTATTATTTTTCTTTAGAGAAAACCGTATCCGGTTTCAAGGGCAACACATCTCGGCAGAACACCCACTGTAGCAGGCCGGAAACACGTGATGAGGTCCACCCAGGGCTCCAAATTTGAAAACGGTGCTCGTCTCCGTTTGCAGGTGAGCATGTAGCCGACAACAACATGGGAAGGAGGCAAAGTTACTAACTGGAACCGAACCTGAGCTCAGAACGTGACCTGTAGAGTCCACCCCCGCTGTAGCAGCCAACATTTAGCTTAAAGTAAGTTAAAGGTCCTGTGTGAGTCGTTAAGGTAATCGTTCTTTCTTTAAAATAAAGCCTTATATGTTGAATGAAGCACAAATAACCCATTTCTTAGACCTACGGACTTTTTGCGCTTTAAACGCGATATGTGAACTTCGAGTAGGTGTTTTCGGGCTATGCTAACAGCTCCCTGGAGATGTCGGGTCATTAAACAATCACGATGGTGAATTCCCCGAGTTTGGCTAGCTAAACAGTAAGCTTACCAACAGGAAGGGGCTCGGTTCGGTTGTTTTTAGCGGTTGCATCGCGGAGAGCACGCGACTAGTTAGGGGCTACTCGCGTGCATAGTAGTGGCGCGTGACTGGTCCAGTATATTTATGTCATGGTCCAGACAGAGCAAAAAAAAAAAAAAAAAAGTTCCAGACAGAGCCTCAGCCATACCTGGTCTCATGCACGTGCTGGGCTAAACCTCAAACTAGTGATGGGAATTACGTCTCTTTTTAGAGAGCCGGTTCTTTTGGCTCAGCTCACCAAAAAGAGCCGGCTCTTTTGGCTCCCAAGTGGCTCCTCAGATTTTCTGTTGCGTAGAGTACATTTATAACCAAAATAATGCTAAACTATATGTAAAATAATTTACTAATGTAAAAAAATGCGACATATAGAATTTTTATCATTTCTATGGATTTAATAACTGAACACTTTAAGAAATCTACACTTTCCAACTGCTGGCGCTCATGCACCGTCTTCGTCGCACTCTCCTCTCTCTCTCGCTCGCCTTATTCCTCCTCCTCATTCCCTCTCGTGTCCCTCCACCCGCATGTGCTCTGTGTGTCCCTCTTCCTCGACCCTACTGCTCTGTGTGTGGACAGTCTGGACACGCAGTTACACATGTTGACCAATCGCCTGTAGCTGTCACCAAAGCAAGAGGGGAGGGGACGGCTCCCAATGACGAGCCGGCTCCCGTCGTTCACTTCAAAGAGCCGGCTCTTAGAGCCGGTTCGTTCGCGACCGACACATCACTACCTCAAACATCACAGACAAAATAAAACGTGCAACAACAGGTGTGAGTAAATTAACCCAACCTAGAAAATTACATGGATGAAAAAAGGGATGTTGCGTATAGTGGTATCAAAGTGTATATGAGCATAATGTGTATCAGTCATGCAGACAGTGAACATTCACTTGTTAGACCAATTGCTTTCTTAGGGCAGTGCAGTGTTGGGCAAACACCAAACTGCAATGTTACAGAATGTCATGAATATCCGGTGTGATAATTGGACATTATGCATATTCTTCTTTTTATCAACATTGCAGTTCTTTGAGACAGTTCTGTGTGCGTTCATGTCAGGTTCTGTTCTTCATTTCACACAGAGTTATAAGAGTTTGTTGCTAGAATAACTGTGTAATAAAGAACAATATAAAATGAAATTGGATAACAAACAGTACGAACTAACAAAGATGTTCAAAGATTTTCTACTTACTGTCCAACCTTAGTATTTATAATAATGCATTGAACTTATATAGCGCTTTTCAAGACACCCAAAGACGCTTTTCACACACCCTCACATTCACACACTGCTAGTAATGGTAAGCTACTTGTAGCCATAGCTGCCCTGGGGAGGTCTGACAGAGGTGAGACTGCAATTTGGCGTCGTCAGCCCCTCTGACCACCACTAACACAGGCAAGTTGGGTGAAGTGTCTTGCCCAAGGACATGACAGCCGGATACCCCTGGAGGGAGCTGGAATCGAACCCATGACCCTCCAATCATGAGGCAACCCGCTCTACCACCTGAGCTACTGCTGCCCTTTATTTATTTAGGACGGTGAAGCTGAACTGATCAGTTTGTACAGTGTTGTGCGTGAGCGCAAGGTTGGTGGATTACAGAAAAATGGAGAGCTGTTTGTTTAATGATCCTTTCCCTCATGGAGTCAAATGTATGCCCATCTACACCACCCATTGGAAACAAGTCTCCACACTCTTTAGCTTTGATTACGGCAGACATTCGCTGTGGCATTGTTTCGATAAATCCGGTGAAATTGCAGAAGTTTATTTCTATCCACTGCTGCATTAATTAGAATCAGAAAGGTTTACTTGCCATGTGTGAGAAATCGCAACATTAGGAAATTGCAGCGGCACTTGGTGCAAAATAGAAGGTTAAAATAAGACATAAGCAGATGTAGGAAGTCAGAATATAATCATGATATAATAATATAAAGTGGCAATACTCAAAGAATCGGCTACTGTGTGTGTAGGTACTAATCAGTTCAATTTCTAATGAATTCAGTTTATTTATAAAGCACTAAATCAGGACCAGAGTCGTCTCAAGGACCTTCACACAGTAAACATTCCAACACAGGTCAGTTCATTAACTCATTCACTACCACTGACGACTAGAGTCGTCATTTTAAATCCAACCATTCACTGCCAGTGACGACTAAAGTTGTCATTTGCATTTTTTTTACTGTTTGGGCATCGGAACGAGCCCCCACGCTGAGAGAACAAACATCTAAGTTCTAAAGCCGATCTTCATCCGCATACGTCACATGTCACGTGATCAGGAAGCGGAACATCCATGTGTTAGGAGATCGTTTTGGGCTGCTCCTGTAAAAAAAAGTGAGGCGCGATCTGGAAAAGCTTCTGCCTATCACAATTCAATGACGGATTTTGAAAGAACAGATAACGCTTGAAACACGCAGATTCTTCCTGAGGTAAGAGGTGAGTCTCCACTTTGTTTGGGTTGTTTTGGCGTCAACATCATCCTAGCGAGCAACGTTTTGTGACTCTTAAAAAAACAGTAAAAACTGAGAAACGCTGGCAGCGAATGAGTTAAGCCAATCAGTAAAAAGTTTCCTATATAAGGAACCCAGCGGTTGCATCGAGTCACTGACTAGTGTCAGAGTCTTTACAGCAATCCTCATACTAAGCAAGCATGCAGCGACAGTGGAGAGGAAAATTGCCAGATGGAAGCAAGTCAAAAAGACTGTCCAGGGTGACACGGGCCAGCTGTTATCTGATCTGCACACCTCAATGTCCTGGAGGTGTACAGTTCCTGTATGGAGGAGAGTTTGCAGCCAATGACCTTCTCAGCACAGCATACAACACGCTGCAGCAGCTTCTTGTCCCTGGTGGTAGCTCCAGCGTACCACACGGTGATTGAGGAGGTGAAGATGAACCCAATGACTGCGGTGCAGAACTTCATCAACTGTGCTGATAGGTTGGATTTCTTCAGCTGCCTCAGGAAGTTCATCCTCTGCCGGGCCTTTTTATGACGGAGGTGATGATGGGATCCCACTGGAGGTTCTGGGTGATGGTCCCATGAGTCCACCATCGAGATGGGGGGTGTCAGACATGGTTATGAGGGGGAGTGGGGCTGTGAGCTTCCTAAAGTCTACAACAACCTCTGCTGTCTTCTAGGTGTTTACCACCAGGTTATTGTGGCTGCGCCAGGACAACAGCCGTTCCACCTCCATTCTGTAGGCAGACTCATCCCTGTCAGAGATGAGTCAGATGACGGTGGTGTCATCTGCAAACTTGATAAGCTTAGCATAGCATAGTTTATTTATATAGCACATTTAAAACACAGCATGGGAGCTGCCCAAAGTGCTGCACAGGCTAAAACAAAACACAACCATTCGAAAGAACTAAAACAGAGGATAAAAATACCAATCAAAAGCAAATAAAACATGAAAAATACTAAGAACACATTAAAACAATGATACAATAAAACACTAAAACGAGTCACTGTCTAAAAGCCAAAGCGTAAAAGTGGGTCTTTAAACAAGATTTAAAAACCGCCAGAGATGGAGCCTGCCGAACTCCAATGGGCAAAGAGTTCCATAGCTTTGGGGCAGCATGGACAAATGCTCGTTCACCCCTCAATTTAAATCGCATCCGCGGCGTGCACAGCAGCAAAAGGTCAGCCGACCTCAACGTGCACGTGGGCACATATGGAGTGAGCAGGTCATAGAGATAGGGAGGTGCCAGGTCATTGAGAGCTTTAAATACAAAGGTCAGTAACTTAAACTGCACTCTGAAAATGACAGGGAGCCAGTGAAGATGTACCAGGACAGGGGTAGTATGACTATGCTTGACAGACTCGTGGTTGGAGGTTAAGCTGTTCCATCTGCAGATGTGGTCAGGCATTTTCATCTGGGACTGTTTGTCTTGGAGAAGGTCTGGGAGGATTGTGTTGATGGAAGAACTGAAGTCCACAAACAGCATCCTGGCATAGGTACCCGGGGAGTCCAGATGCTGCAGGATGATGTGTAGAGCCATGTTGATAGCATCATCTACAGACCTGATGGCTCTGTAGGCAAACTGTAGGGAGACCAGTAGGGGGGTTGTGAGGGTCTTGAGGTGGGGGAAGAACCAGGTGCTCAAATAACTTGATGACCACAGATGTCAGAGCCACATGTTTTACCAAGGCCTTGCACTGATGGTGGTAGAGTCTGACCGCTGCACAAAGCCTTCTCCAGCACATCCCAAAGATTCTCAATGAGGTTAAGGTCTGGACTCTGTGGTGGTTAATCCATGTGTGAAAATGATGTCTCATGCTCCCTGACCCACTCTTTCACTATCTGAGCCTGATCAATCCTGGCATTGTCCTCTTGGAATATGGCCGTGCCATCAGGGAAGATGGAATAACTTGGGCCCAATCTCAATACTCGCACTTGCACCCTCGCGCCCTTCATTTGCCCGTTCCCGGCCAGGAGTGCGAGTGCGTTGGGTGTGCCGATTCTCAAGTGCGGAAGTTGACCTTAGCCCCCATTGCACCCTTAATCTGCACCTCACCCATGTCCGCAGTGATGTGGACCTTGGGCAAGGGTATTACCCACAAGTCATTGCTGCAGGAGAAAAGGCTCAAGTTCTTCTTCTGAAAATATGTATTTTCTAATGAAATTAGCTAATTTTAGGACGATTAGTTGATGCTCTGAATGTTTTAGACAAAGCAGCAATAAAATTAAATTTAATTCAAAGAATTGCTGTATTTGTTTGAAAGTTGTTAATAAAGGTGTGTGAAAAAAGTTTCACAGTGACCAGCATCACGGCATGCGTTGCAATTGATGATGCAATGTTCCCTGTCTCAATGCTGCATTTATCTGCACACTTGTGTACTACGCACTTGAACCCTACTGCACACTTTCTCCAAGTGCACTTAGCTAAAGACTGCAGGGTGCAGTGCGAGTATTGAGATTGGGCCCTGGTCATTTGAGATATTCAGGTAGTCAGCTGACCTTATTCTTGGAGCACATCCTGTTGCTGAACCTAGACCTGACCACCTGCAGCAAGCCCAGATCATAGCACTGCCCCCACAGGCTTGTACAGTAGGCACTAGGCATGATGGTGCATCACTTCATCTGCCTTTCTTCTTACCCTGATGCACCATCACTCTGGACCAGGTTTCATCTGGACTCATCAGACCAGTTTTTATAATGCGTTGGACAGTTCTGAACCCAGTTTCTGCACCTCCTTAGATGTTGTCTCTGCTTGATGCCAATGATCTGACCCTCCCTTCTCACACAAACACCTTTTCCACCACCAGATGTGTCTTTCTACTTGGTTGTTTAAGAAATGAGAAGCTACTCGTTGCACCAGTTGGGTTAAATAACTTGTAGCAGCTGAAAGGTAATCGTCCATGTAGTCATTATCCAGTAGGAGGCTTGGACCTATTTGCTTAGTTAAATCTTTTTTTAGGCTGGACAGTGTATTTTTCCGGCCTTATCGATGAGATTATTTAGTCTGTTAGCATCTCTGACATTGATGCATCTCCTCCAGTAGACTAGTACCATAAAAAGGAAGGTTTGCTTCATAGCATTTCTGTTTAGCTCATTTATAATGCAATAAAACAACCCTTGCTGCTCTTTTGGCTTAGATAAATTTATTTTCCTCTTTTATTTATTTGTGATTTCTGATTTCAGGTGACCTGAAGTCTGTTCTTAGCACTGAGGACCCACTGAAGCAGAGCAATGCAGTGCACTCCTGAATCTAATGTCCACCTGCATAGTCACAAAGCCCAGCGCTGTTACGATGACTGCACTGACAGCGGATACTCAGGTTTGTTCCAGAGCCCACAGACCATCACTGGAATCCAGTCCTCTAGATCATCATCTCCAGCCGAGTTCAATGAAACTCCCAAGGAAAACATCAGGTTTACTCCCACTCCTAAAGAAAAGGCCAGAGATTCGGTCAAGATCTTTTGCACAGACTCCAAAGAAGTCCTGCAGCCTGGAAGCTGGAGTGAAACTCCTAAAATTTCAAAAAGAGATGCTTCATTGCAACGCAGACTTGCCTTGTGTAAACACACTGCAGCCAAAAATACTAGTGTGAGATCACCTTCTAACACAAAATCTGAGTCCAGCTTCAGAGTCAGGTCTGAGCACTGGCTCAGTGCGTCGTTTGACTCTTTAGATATTGTGACCGATGGGGCAACAAGCACTTTAAAACTGGATCAGGATCTGTCCTTTTCTGGGAGGAAACGTCATCTCTTCACTCAAGTGAGGACCTCTACCCTTGAAGATGGCAAAGTCAACGTTCGTCACCTCTCTGCTTTTGAGACAAGTGTTTCCCTCTCAGAGTCTGATTCCTGTGAAGTCATTTCCACTGCAGACCGACTTGATATCGCTACTCCGGGATTCGGCAAGCTGCTTCCCATCTTAACACCAGAGAAAGGGGACACGAGTGTTTTCAGCACACCAACATTCACACAAACGCCCAAATATGCCAGGTAAATGTGCCTTTTTATTCTTTCCATTTAGATTAAACCTACCAAAAACAAACAAATCTCTAACAGAAAGAAAATGAAAATGCGAGACAACACAGTTTGTACTGTTGTGGCCATTATTTTATTTTGAGTCTGGTCTATTCAGGAAGAGCTGAAACACTCTTCATTTAACATCCCTGCATGTGTCATCCCTAACCCAAATATCAAACGGTCAAAATAAAATGTAAAAATGAAAGGTTTCTACCCTTTTATCAACCTGATTGTTTAGGAAAATAGATTTGCCCAGTCAGGAATATGTAAAGCATTCATTTGAACCTTGAAAGGTAAAGAAATACATCAAGGTATTGGTTATGTATGACTTCAAGAACCAACCAACTACAAAGTGCTTAAGGATCAGGCTGTTAATATAATTCTACATTATGTTTTAGATTTGAACTTGGTGTATGGCATCACTGTAGGGCTGCAACAAACGATTATTTGGATAATCGATGAATCGGATGGGGTCTCGACACGATTAATCGATTAATCGGATTACATGGGGAAATTTTTAAAAACTGCTAGGGAAACGTTATTTCTCTCCTTCCTTCAATTTATTTAACACAACATTATTAGAAAACAGTTCAATAGCAGAAAAACAACATGCCATCACCTAAATTGTCTTATAAGGTGTATAGACAGAGACCCTAAGCTACATCTATCTGTGACCTAAAATGCTTGGTCCAAGTTAAACAGCTTAAGGGCAATTCTCATCTGTTTTGTTTGATCTCATCTGTTGACATTTATTATAACTGGGGATGTCAAACAACTAATTTTTAAATGTAATTAAACATAGGCTGTGAATTAATCAAAATTGATCACTATTTCCAAAAATGACTGAAAAAATACCAAATAAAACAAAAGTAAATGAATGCCATCCTCCTTGTGATGATGCCCTGGGCAACTGCCATAAAGTCACATCAAGAAATGCTGCTGATCATTCCAATGATCCCAAATAGACTCGCATTAGGCCACATGAAAGCAACTGAACCCAAAAATATATTAACCAGTATATAACTGTACTCTCACACAACACGCCTGCAGCAACAGTTAGGACTCCTCCCTCCCTTTTAAAAGCGTTTTTGCTTCCGAGGACATTGTGGTTGTAAAACCACATGCTAGTAGTCTGGCCCCGGTGTGATCAACCAGTTTCTGCGGGAATGTGGCGGCGGGACCAGGGCCAGATTAACACTTTGTTGTACCCTGGGCAACAATATTCAAGGGCTCCATCATCACGACCCGAGGATCACCATAATGTGGTCACATACAGAATATTTTACTGTAATTGCAGTAAATATACTCAATACGTGAATGCCTGACAACACGTAACCCGCCCAGAGTAACCTTTGACCCATCTCGTGTGGATTGACCAATGAGGAGAGGGTCTTAACTTGAGGCCCTCCCTTCATTGGTCAGTCTGCATGAGACTGACTCTCAACTGACGTTCAGTCATAGGCAGCGAAGCGTCTCTGTGCAGCGCAAAAGCCCGGGTGGACAGTTTGTTTAATATAGGGTGACCATATTTCCATTTCCAAACAAGAGGACAGGGGATCTGTGGCTATGACATCACACTATGGCAACGCCACACAAACCATGTTGAGACCCATTTTTTGTAAGAACTAAATTAATATCAGATTCTGCCAATAAAAGGGCTCTAAAACAATTCATATGTAAATATTTTGCATATTTAATGCAAAATCTCATTTTTCTGCTTTAGTGCTGCAACAAGGTTTTATTAATAATAAATTATTATACCTTTTGTTTTACTACAGCATTGGTAAGCTTCCTGTGCACAGATTATTAAGGATGCTTGTTTCAGCTGTGAGATTAGACGATAGGATCAATGATAAAATAAGTTGTCCCACACTCCATGGAAACTTTCAGAGAATCCACAAATAGTGGCTTTCAAATGGTTTTGTTACTTTTTGCAAGTTTAGAAAAGAAGCAGATGAGACAGCATGTCTGATAATTTAGTTTTTCTTCTGATAATATTAGAACATGTCAGTAATGTCTGAGGGGTTTTTACAAACACTGTATAACTAACACTACTGGAGAGGGTATGGATTACAGAGGCTTCTGGGGAGCCCAGTTATGGGGGGGGGGGGGGGGGGGGGGCATTTTGCCTTGGCCCCCAAAATGTCTTGAAACGGCCCTGGGTGTGTCACTGAGTTTTGAAGGTGATCTGAATTGTATCAGATGTATAATTATTACATGTGTATAACTTATTGTTTTGCAGGTAAAAACGTGTAGTGGAGATAAATCTACCTACATTTTACTTTTCAACACTTTGTTTTGTTTTCTTGTGTTTATTTAACTATTTTCCTGTCCTGTCTGTCTCTCATCTTCCTGCATCTCCTCTAAACTCTCCAGAAAATCTGTTGCCTGGATTCTTACCTTTTCACCTCATCAGTTTCTTTTGAGCAGATCAAATGGATCTCCTGACCGCAAAGCGCAGAGCGCGTTTTCGATGCTGCATGAGGTCACCACAGCACAGGTGATGAGCTCCGCAGTAGCGCGCTTCAGGCACAAATAAGACAGAAAATAGAGAACATGTGCAGACATGAACGATCGTGTGCTAATTATAGTTGTTTGGTTGTGCCACTTTGAGAATGGACCGTGCGCAGGAAGCAGCTGCCTGGATCGCTGCGCAACAATGCGCTGTGCCGCTCTGCTCAAAAGAGTTCAAAAATGATATAATATAGAAAACTTTTTTCCGGCTCCCCTGGATGTGTAGGATATACAGCTCCCCCATAATTCGATCCCTGCTCCTGGATGAAAAGCCAGACATTTTCATCAATACAAGAACCCGCAGTCCGGATGCCGGACAGAGAGTGAAAAGTGGACATGTCCAGGGAAAACGGAACGTACGGTCACCATAGTCCTCATAAAGGGGAAATTATAGATACAGTATTTTGCTCGTGCCCTGGGCCCTTTAGAGTTCGTGGGCCCTGGGCAATTGCCCAGTTAATCCGGCCTTGGGCGGAACCGATTCGCAGCAGCGCAAGTCTGCCGGCTCTCCCTCGCGCTGATCTGCCGGCTCTCCCTCGCGCTGATCTGCCGGCTCTCCCTCGCGCTGATATGACTTGCTCTGGCATCGGCGGGCGGGAAGGGGGGGGGGCATTTTTGGAAGAGTTGTGCGACACAACGAATCGATGACGCAATTCGTTGCCAACGCTTTTAGTAATCGATTTTCATCAAATTTATCGATTTGTTGTTGCAGCCCTACATCACTGTGTTGTATATCTTATCCAATAGATGCTTATAATTACGTTAGGCTTTACAACAGTTAGACTTAGTGTTCAGCATAGGGACCCATTTTTTTGTAAGAACTAAATTAATATCAGATTCTGCCTATAAAAGGGCTCTAAAACAATACATACTTAGCATATTTACTGCAAAATCTCATTTTTCTTAGGGATGCACCGATCAGGTTTTTTGCTGCCGATCACCGATACCGATATCAAAGAATGCTGATCGCCGATACCGATCACCGATACCGATCACGTGGATTGGCCAGAAATTTTCTACAACATTATAATGAGTGCTACAAACTACATAATCTGGGAATAAAGGAAATGTAACCTAATCTAAAATGGTCTGTATTAGGGTTGTCACGGTGTGAAAATGTAACCTCACGGTTATTGTGACCAAAATTACCACGGTTTTCGGTATTATCGCGGTATTTTTTTTAAACGTGCTACATTTTCACACAATTAAATAAACCCTGTATGTCAGGAAATATTGTCCTCAGTTTGTGTCTAAATTTTGCCTAAAATGTGTTATTTTGTAATTATGTTGTTTATTTGTTTACATTTTTTCCCTTAAGTCTTTGAAATACCAATATTTGCCCATAACTTCTTATTTTATGTCTGTTTGATGTCATCATTTTAAAAATCTTAGATCAGATGATACTCAGTACTCAAGTAGTCTTCTAATCAGATACTTTTTTTTGAGCAATCCGTATATCAGGAAAATATTGTCCTCGGTTTGTGTCCTTCCAGTGAGCTTTGCAGATGTGGGAAAATGTCATCAGGCAGTAATCTTAGTTAAATTCATAATTATTCTCGGAGAGAGACCAACTCTTATATGCCCCTGGGAGCCCCATAATGCATAGCGTCATTTCAACATGGGGGTGTCCGCGACACGGTTTATATGCAGGTAGCGGCGCTGCGGCTGCTTTATATAGCGACTCGTTGCATTCTCCCTCAACCCAAATCCTCGGATCACGCATTTTAGCTAAAACGCTAACATTAGCTTGCCTTGCGTTGACTGTAGAGTTGTGGGTGATGGTCACGCAGATGTGTCATGAGATTTGAAGCGTTGCTGCCTTTCACAGACACTTTTTCTGCTCGTGCTGCAAACAGGATAGCCGTCCGTCTTCTATAAACTCCCTCGGCATTCTTCAAATATCTAAAATATGCCCGTACTTCCGACTTTGTCTTCTTTGAGGGATAATAAATGTCCTCCTGAGCTCTGCCGTCTCCTCCTTTGACCATTATTTCAGCTTTAGCTTCAAGAAAGTTTTGTTGTAAACAAAGCGTGCGTCTGTGCCGCCGGCAACTTCAGCCGATGATACGGTGGCTGGTAAGGGTCACCGCGCCTACACCGCAGCCACGGTAAACCCATCCAGATAATAATAGTTTTTTTAAAAACAAGACTGTTATTATAATTGTCAACTTTTTTTTTTACCGGGGTTTACCGCTACACTGGTTACCGTGACAACCCTACCTGATCGGTTTGCTTTGATCTATTTTGAAAATTCCGATCAAAACCGATAGGGGCGCTATCGGCCGATTACGATCAAATGCCGATCCATTGGTGCATCCCTAATTTTTCTGCTTTAGTGCTGCAACAAGGTTTTATTAATAATAAATTATAACTTTTGTTTTACTACAGCATCGGTAAGCTTCCTCGCACAGATTATCAAGGATGCTTGTTTCAGCTGTGAGATTAGACGACAGGATCAATGAAAAAATAAGTTGTCCCATTGGAAACTTTCAGAGAATCCACAAATAGTGGCTTTCAAATGGTTTTGTTACTTTTTGCAAGTTAAGAAAAGAAGCAGATGAGACAGCATGTCTGATAATTTAGTTTTTCATCTGATAATATTAGAACATGTCAGTAATATCTGAGGGGCTTTTATAAACACTGTATAACTAACACTACTGGATAGGGTATGGATTACACAGAGGCTTCTGGGGAGCCCAGTTATGGGGGGTGGGGTGGTGGTGGTGTGTGTGTGTGTGTGTGTGTGTGTGTGTGGGGGGGGGGGGGGGGGTCATTTTGCCTTGGCCCCCAAAATGTCTTGAAACGGCCCTGGGTGTGTCACTGAGTTTTGAAGGTGATCTGAATTGTATCAGATGTATAATTATTACATGTGTATAACTTATTGTTTTGCAGGTAAAAACGTGTAGTGGAGATAAATCTACCTACATTTTACTTTTCAACACTTTGTTTTGTTTTCTTGTGTTTATTTAACTATATCCTGTCCTGTCTGTCTCTCATCTTCCTGCATCTCCTCTAAACTCTCCAGAAAATCTGCTGCCTGGATTCTTACTTTTTCACCTCATCAGTTACTTTTGAGCAGATCAAAGGGATCTCCTGACCGCAAAGCGGAGAGTGCGTTTCGATGCGTCAGTGAGGTGAAATCACCGCAGTGATCTAATAATGTTGTGTTAAATAAAGTGAAGGAAGGAGAGAAATAACGTTTCCCTAGCAGTTTTTAAAAATTTCCCCATGTAATCCGATTAATCGTGTCGAGACCCCATCCGATTCATCGATTATCCAAATAATCGTTTGTTGCAGCCCTAGTTCAGCAGCCTCGCGTCTGTCTGTCTCAGGGCAGCTGTGGCTGCGATGTAGCTCATCACCACCAGCGTGTGAATTGGTGAAAGGCCGTTGTGTTGTGAAGTGCCTTGGGGGGTTGTAGGATTCCATAAGGCGCTATACAAATACAGGCCACTTAAATATGTTAAACAAATTTTCCTGGTGGATTTGTGTAGCTCTGCATGCCAGAAAGCATGCCAGAGCGTGTTGCTCTGAGTTATTGACTTTTTCCACCTTTTATTATGTTGAAGCTTCTCAGAATTCCACGCACAACACCCCATGATGACTACATGGAAAGGATTTTTGCAAAGTTGTCCTGAAACCACTCCTTTATTATACTGGCTGTGTGCTTCGGGTCGTTGTCCTGCTGAAAGATGAACCGAATCCGATGCCCCAGTTCAAGGTCAAGAGCGCTGTGGAGCAGGTTTTCATCCCAGATGTCTCTGTGAATTACTGCATTCATCATTCCTTCTATCTCGACTCGTCTCCCAGTTCCTGCTGCTGAAAAACATCTCCACAGCATGATGCTGCTACCACCATGCTTCACCGCAGGGATGGTATTGGGCTGGTGATGAGCACTGCCTGGTTTCTTCCAAACACGACACTTGGCATTCACACCAGAGTTCAGTCTGTGTCTCAGACTAGAGAACTTTGTTTCTCGTGGTCTAAGGGTCCTTCAGTTGCCTTTTGGCGAACTCCATACAGGGGGCCATGTGCCCTTTATGAACAAGTAGCTTCCATCTGGCCACGTTGGCACAATGGGGGCTCAGGGGATAGGACTTTGCCCTGTAATCTGTGGGTTGCTGGTTCACAACCAGTTGTGTCATACTTCACCCTTCTTGCTGGTGGTGCACACCTGTAACACCTGCACATATCAGTCTCACCTCTGTCAGCATGCCCTAAGGGGACTTCTGACAGAGTCACCATGGGGTTCTGGGACATCTCCCTGGCCTTCCCCTGATCACTCAGATTAGATGGCTGGCCAGCATTAGGAACAGTCCTGGTGGTTTCTAACTCCCACTTACAGGTGATTGAGGCCATCAAGCTAACTGGATTTTTCAAAGCAACAGAAATGTTTTTCCAACCTCCAGATTTGTGCCTTGAACCAATTCTGTATTTAAGGCCTACAGACAAGTCCTTTGACTTCACAGTTGATTTGTGTTCTGACATGCGCTGTGAAACTGGGACCTTATAAAGAGAGGTGTGTGTGCGCCTTTCCAAATCATGTCCAGTCAACTGAGCTTACCGCAGGTGACTTTGGTAAGCTGCAGAAACATTTAAGGAAGATCAGTGGAAACAGATGCACCTGAGCTCAGTTTTGGAAAAGGCTGTGAATACGTGGCATCTCAGCCTTTTTTTTCAGGCTGTCTGGGGTGTTTGAGGGGGAATAATAATATATAATATTAGGGCTGCAGCTATTGAATGTTTTAGTAGTCGAATATTCTATTTGACGACGTTTCAAGTGAAACAAGAATGTGGTCTGCTGCTAAAAATATGAAACAACAAAATTATGAACGGGCTTTAGTTACTCTGCTCCTTCTGCATGGACCAGGCTGCAGGAAAACTGGAAATTAACCGAGTTTATCTTCTTGACTACATTTAAAACCAGACTAAGAACCCTTGAGATGGATTCCCTGTGTTGTAACTGCCTTCTGTAGTTTAGTACATAACATGTCTGTGTAACTGTAAATGTTTGTAACTGTAACTTTTTCTGCCTCTTGGCCAGGACTCCTTTTAAAATGAGATTTTTAATCTCAATGGGACCTTCCTGGTTAAATAAAGAGTAGATCAATTTAAAAAATCAACAATATGTATTAAATTAGTGTTGTCTAGTTCCCTCTTTCCCAGCTGATATTTATAGGTAGTAAATAATTTATGGAACCAAATTTGACTTGTGTTTAACTAAAATATTTTGTTTATTATCACTCACCCTTGTCTAAACATATCTAAATAAATTCACATACGATCAGTAGAATTTAATTATGTAGTGGAATATAGTTGTATATTCTTACACTTTTATTAGGTCCAGATACTATAATCAGAAGAGGTTGTTTTTACTTCAGGGAGTTTTATTTAAACACTTTGTATTGACTTAGAATAATGTAGTGTAATGGTTTATAGCTCTTTTATTAAAGAGGAACCATTCTACAGAATAATCTGGAATATTAATTTTTACAAATTAATAACCAAATGTTATAGAGATAAGAAGACTCAAAGATTGTTTTCATCGATAAACTGACGATCATATCCGGTTGTCTGTGTTTCAGTTCAATGAAAAGACAAGTTTGAAATTTAAGAGTTTTAATTCTTCAATTTAAACTAATGATTTGAAATGACAATCATAGGAAAAATAATCAACATTGGCAACCTTGTTGGACAATCTTTAACAGTTGATATTTTAAGCTTGCACAAATAGACCTTGTGTTGGATGTGCTAAGATTTGATGATGATGGAATTATGAATGGTGCATGCAGGTGTCTGAGATTGCTTCAGGGAGAGAAAAGGTGAATCTGAGTGAAAAATGATGGTTTGAATTAAACTTAGTTCTTATTAGAAAAACTGCATCAGAACGTTATCTATTGTGTTCTGCCTCACCGACCTTAGGACCCTCTTTTAGATCCGGACGCCACAGGAGGATGTTTCATCCAGGTGACACCTTGGCTGGCAGAGAAGACGAAGGTGTGCTGACGGTCCAGTCCAGAGTTGACCTCGGTACACGTTGATGAAGCGTTTAGCAGATACGCTTTCTCAAGTTTAAATTAACTCAGAAATCAAAGACTCTGGGACGAGTCTGCGTTAGCTGGTTGCATTTCAGCTATTCTGTCTGACTTGACAGAAATAGCGTGGGGGGAGAAAAGAGCCGACGGGGCTCCGTTCCCCGTTGGCGTTTGTTCTGCACGTCCTCTCTCTCTCGTTGTCAATCTCGTTCATTAACATGTTCAGTAGTAAACTACTGGAAATCCTACTAGCACCAATGCAATGGTGGCATATATATTCTATTATGTAAGTGTTGCCAACGTAATCGAGGCTAAATTATAATCAAATATAGAAGCGTTTTTGAATTACATGCTACAACGGCTTGCCACAGTCATGCTGTGGTGTGGAGCAGACTCGTGTCGCTGATTGTCAGTAGCAACAACCTGAGTCCAGGTAGCAGCAGCGGTTCTACTCCACACCGCTGCTGCTGCAGACATCCACATGCAAACGGGATGCTTGGGGATTTTTCTTCCACTTGTTTTTTTCTGAACTCCATTTGATCGTGAGCGTGCCATCCCAAACTGTGAATCTTTTCTGCGTTTTACGAAGGTTTCTGTCTTTGCTGATTTCTCTGTGTTCTTCCACAGCACCAGTGCACCAGTAAAATGTGTTCAGACGGTGGTGCGCACATATAACAAAACTTCTAACCAGTACAAAATGAACTGAGGAATTTAATGATTCGAACCTTTCGATGATTCGTTTCAACCCTATATAATATGAATATATTAATACACTATTTTGAGGGGGGGAAATAATTATTCTGTTGCATTACAAGGCCGTAACGTAACAGTCATATGCAGGCAGTCATAAGCATCGCATGTTTCTGGTTCTGGCAGAAGGGCCTCTGGAGTGTACCCGAGCGGAGGGGCGAGTGTTCCGCGACTGCTAACCTAGCTGCTTCTGTAGATTCGCTTTAATGGCTTTAAACATTATTTTAAGATGCATATTATATGAAGCCTTTCATCCTAGAGTTTAAACACTTGTTTACCAGTAAAATGATGCAGTTTTACATTTTTTGTTGAAAGTTGAAAATAGCGTTAAGCAGGCTTACAGAAAGACCTCTCTGTGCTGCACACCAAATTTTAGCATATCCATTTTTGTGTTTGCTAATGTAGCAGCCAACGTGAGTGGGGTCCTAAAAGTTAATCAGCTGAAGATGTATATGCAGATTAAACTCCGAACGTTTGATTAAAATCCACCTGATGGTTCAATCTTCTGCATTTGGTGTGCACTTTTGAGCTGGCCTAATGAATTAAACACGTTTATGTTCTAACCCCTGAACAGGTCTGTGTGCGAGGACAGTGGGTTCGGTTCCGCGACACTTGATAAATCCCAAGACTCCTCGGTGGACCATGAGTTTTCCTTCCAGGACCTGCTTACCTCTTCTTCCAGAGCAAATGGTGAAACCCCCAATCTATCGGATACAAAGCGGCACTCCCGTTTCCAGCGTCAGCACAGGCTTTCTACTCTTAAAGAAGGTGGCTCTCAGTCTGAGGACGACTCGGGAGAAAAAACACATCACCAACCTTTGAAGTGCTACAGCTACTCTAAAGAAGATGAGGTTTTTGCTGAAGATGCTACCCCTAGCAAAGCTCCACCTGCTAGATGTTTTAACAGTGTTTCCTCTGGGGAACAGGACTGCACCACACCACTAAGTGCCTCAATAATACTAGACACAACACCTAACTCTGCCATCACGACGACCCCAGTCAGTTTCTCCTTAACTCCAGCCTTGCAGTTAGTTCATTCTATGTGCCAGCAAAGAGTTCAGATGTTTTCTGGCCAAATTCCCAGTATGAAGGAGGAGTTGAAGATGCTGAAGGCACTGATTGAGACTCCAGGCAGCTTAAGGACTAGCATGCCACTGGCAGGGCTGATAGGCAGGAGGATGGGTCTGAGGAAAGTGGACATTCTTACGGAGCTCAAGAAGATGAATCTAAAGCACATCCTGGCTAACATTTTAAGGAACCTGAACTCTGAGAGTGTCCACAGGTAAATATTTCTTTCAAAACCTTTTGTCTTTTCAAAGTGAAGATTTATCAACCTTTTTTCTCTTTGCATTCACTGGTTTTTACCAGCACTGTGTACATGTGCAGCTTCCCCTTTACCAACTTGTCAGTCATTAACATTATTAGATATGTGAATAAAGAACAAAATAACGTGCATAATGTCCCGACTTGCAACTGTAAAACTTTCACTTGTGTACCTCAAACACAACCAGTGCCATCGCTAGTTTAATTTTTCAGATGACAGTCCTGAAAGTCTTTTCTCCTGTTCATTTTGTTTCATTTCAGATGTGCTCAAGTGTGTAAAAGCTGGGGTGAAATTATCCAGCAGGACAATCGAGCTAGCCAAATGAGAAGAAGCTACCAGAGTGAAGTAGAGGCAGCTCTAGAGGTCATTTACTTTTGCCTTTGTAACCTTTACTGCTGTCTTTGTCAGTAATGGTGCTGTGGTCTTAGCCTTTTTACTGAAGTAATTTGTTCCCAGAGAAAATGCTGTCTTCATCCCTCAACTGGTTTTAGCTTGCAGCACACAGTGCAATAATTATAAAACAAGATGTGAGTTTAGGAAATACATTTATAATAAATGAAACAAATGTAAGAAATAATGGTGAGAATTTATGGACCTGCAATCAATCACTTTATTCATTAGGCCACTTCTGTTAGCAAATTCATTTGCAGAGGAAAGTGCCAGCACAAGTCCGTAAAAGCAAAATCAAAACACACACAATCGATCAAAAGGAATAATAAAATACTTTTGATTGAGTCCGATCCAAAGTCACTTGGACTGCGGCGAGGATAGGCCGTGGTGGAAGTGAAAAACCATTTCTTTGGTCTTGGGAGACCAAACAGTTCTCCTTACACCGTAGTTAAGTTTGAAGTCCGTCTGTGTTGGTAGTGTCCATGAGTGTGAGTCCAGTGCTACTTTTAAAATGAAACTATAATTTGCTGTTCATTATTTTAAACTATTTAAATTTGGAGATTTAGGTACTCTGAGTTAGCTTAGAAGCTAGACCGTCATTTGCTGAAGCAAAAATAATTAAGCTTTGCATTTGCATTAAATATTCACATGTATAGGGCTCGCCAGGCTAACTCTGAAAACGGGTCAGTGGCTGTTATTCCTCCAAATGCAAGCATCCATATACTGTAAAGCAATTTATCAAATAGGCACTTAGTAGTTAAAGATAATGAGAATTTGTCCATTTGAAGGGTTTTGAATTGCTTCTACTTGTACAAGTTCCCAAGTTGTCCCATATAATAATAAATATGTACACATTGGGATAAAAAAATGGTAAATGGCCTGTATTTGATGCAGTGCCTTCTAGGGTCCGTGAACCCCCCAAGGTGCTTTACAAAACAATCATTCACCCATTCACACGCTGGTGGTGACGAGCTACGATGTAGCCACAGCTGCCCTGGGCCGCACTGACAAAGGCGAGGCTCGCGTACCTGGTACCACTGGTCCCTTCGAACATCACCAGCAGACAAGGAGGTTAAGTGTCTTGCCCATGGACACGACGGCAGCGACAGACTGAACGGGCCTCAAACCTGCAACCCTCCGATTATGGGGCGAGCACTTAACATCAGGATGTTTTATCGACTCATCTGGTTAAATAATTTTTAAAATGTTAATATGTTAAATGGTCAACACTTGCATAGTGCCTTTTAAATGTCACATAAGTGCTTCAAATGCTGCATCAGTCCCACCCTGCTAACACTAGACTGGGCCTCATCTTGCATTCAGAACTGCCAAAATTAGTCTTGGCATAGACTCCGAGGTGTTGGAAACCTTGCATCTTTAGACCACAAGTTAAAACCTAAACTTTGTTAAAAAGAAAGTCCTCATAGAGAAGTAGTTAAGCCATAGGTTTTAATAAAGGGGTAATGACTGATTCATTTATCTTTCTCACAGCATGGAGGCCCTGTCCATGTCTCTGGAGTAGAGACCAGAGTTGGTTTGCTGCATAGGTCTCCTCTAAAAGCTGTTCAGGCCCAGTCCAGAACCACCAGCTACTGCACCCCACAGTCAGCAAGCAGCAATGTAACTCCCTTACAGCACAGTACCGCAAAGACAACCGGCAGAAGCAAACGAGATACATTTCTGAAGGTGAGTTCTTCCTGTTTGGTGCTAAGTCAAAATAGTTTGAGGAAATGAAGTTTTATGCTAGATAATAGTTTCTTTCTTTCAGGTTGCTAAAACCCTCTTTATTGATGAGAGCCTTAAGCCGTGCCCTAGATGCCAAGATCCTGCGAGGTGCCATTCAGTGAAAGGGGAAGGCGTTTGCAGCAGAGCTGACTGTGGCTTTCAGTTTTGCATTTTGTGCTTGTGTGCTTTTCATGGCTCCAGGGAGTGTGGCAGCCATTCTGCAGGCCATCACAAGAGTGACGCCCTACTTCCAGGAAGTGCTCAAAGCAAGAGAAACATTAGAAGACTGTGAGCAGGACTATTCTCCATCTGTTTTTTAAAGGTCCACATGAAAAATCTGGAGTAGTTATAAACATTGTGTGTGGTATTTATTGTGTAAGTGTTTTTACATGTACTTCTGTTTTTCCCCAGCTTATAGTTATGTTTTTACCTATGCCTATCAACGGCTGATTTTAGTGATGCGGCCATCAAGGCACTGGCTCTGTAAAAGGCCCTTTTTTCACAGGGATTGAGTTTTTTCTTTTTTTATTAATGTGTATTCAGAATTTTCTTAAATTAAAGTTTTTTTCTATTTTTAATATTTTTGTCACTACTGATTTGAGTATTATCTTTTCTGTGGTTTGGCACCATCTAGTGTTGTAATGTGAACACTGCAACGACGTTTGAATTGCTTTATTGCCTGTAAGTGATTTTTAAGCATTGCAAAGTGAATAAATGAAGTAAACATCATTTGAGGTGGTGGTGCAGCCGCTGAGGCCGTTTCTGTGGTTAACGTTTAACGCCTGTAGACTTCCCTCCCATAGCAACCTGGACAGACAGCGTCGCTAGAAAGTACGATGCGGCCGCAGGTTTCACCAGGTAACAAATCCTCTCAACCTCACAGCTTTACTAACCTGTGGCTTTAGTAACGTGTGTGTGTGTGTGTGTGTAGGAGGGACGCAGCTTACTCCAGATAACTTTGTAAGTATTAGTTTATTTTCACAAACGGGGCTTATTGGTTTTAATCACCTTTAAAGCTGCCTCCTCTATAAACAGAATGTGTTGTCCATACAGGAGAGTTTTCTGGCCTCTGATGAAGTTTTAACCAACTACTTCAACGACTTCCTGCGTCTGCCGGTAACGCACACCTCATACGCGTTTCACCATTTCTTTTGGTAATCTCCACTTTTATAACTCGTGGTTTGAAGGATTTAATGCCCTCTTCCACCCGTTGGTGCAGGTGGCTGCTCACCTGTACGGTGGCCGATAGGGATAATGAAATGGAGATTGGTTGTCTATTTATGATGTAAAAACCAACAAAAACACTCGGCTACCAAAAAAATTCCACTAATCATTATGCCATTAGCATGATGCTAATTGGTTAGATGCTTCCGGTCAGGCACCAAGCTACAGGAAGTAGAATGAAGTAAAAACAATAATCACGTTTATCCCAAGTCTTCACTCTTTGTTTACAGTTAAAACAGCTTAAAGAGCATGTCACCCCCAAATCAACTATTTTTTTCTGATAAATTATATAAATGCGTGTCTAATCATGCTGCAGACGTGTAGTCAATAGTTGTGCATTTTAGTTAAAATTTAAATTTTCTGTCTGAAACTGGCAGTGTTGTGCCGTTGTCAGGTAAAAACTTCACTGCATTTGAATTTAAATCTGCCACCGCTATTGGCTAAGAGGTATGCTATGATGTAAACTGGTACATTATGATGTCACAATGTCGTGAGTGTGTGTATTTGTTAGTGGCTCCACCCTCTCGGTCTGCTAGGCAACAGCATTTGTTGCATTTTTCAAACATGAAGTGGGAGTGAAGTACGCTTCTTGTAGGGGGTGACTTGCTCTCCCTGTTTGAAAAATGCAACAAATGCTGTTGCCTAGCAGACCCCAGACCCAAACCCCCACAATGCGGCTCAAAAATTGAAGCAATCCCGGAAGTACCAAAAATTGCAGTTCCACCCTCATCTGCTGGGGGCTGGTGTCAGAAGCGAGCAAATCCTCATTGACTCCCATGTTAAAAATACCAATTTCACAGCAGACATAAACATGTTTACAGCCTGGTTCCAATACATGTTTTTGGTTTAAATTATCTAGTTTACACTCATGACAACTCTGAGGGGGGTGAATTTTTTTCTCACTCTTCTGTTTAAGTGTATTAAAAGCCTAAAATTCTGTATAACTAATGAGCATCAAACCCATGTGACCACAGAGCTAGCTCCGTGGAAAGGCCTCAGTAGAGCCTCGGTCTGGCCTGGAAACTGCTCCGGGATTTTGAGTCTCTGTGTGTGTGTATTCTTTTTTGGATATTTTTTGTGCAATTGTTGGACAAAATGACTTGCTGTGGCATTAATTGCACTAATAGAGCGTCCAAGGAGTCTCCACTTCATTTTTTTCGGTAAGTAAAATTATATTTATGTATTTCAGTTCACTGCCGAGCTGAGCTTAGATTTTAACATGAACTGTTTAACCATGAAATTTAAATGCAATAGGGTAAAATCCAGTGCATTTAACATAATGCTCGTCTCTCGTCTCGTCTTCCTCCGCTTATCCGGGTCCGGGTCGCGGGGGCAGCATCCCAACTAGGGAGCTCCAGGCCGTCCTCTCCCCGGCCTTGTCCACCAGCTCCTCCGGCAGGACCCCAAGGCGTTCCCGGACCAGATTGGAGATGTAACCTCTCCAACGTGTCCTGGGTCGACCCGGGGGCCTTCTGCCGGCAGGACATGCCCGAAACACCTCCCCGGGGAGGCGTCCAGGAGGCATCCTGACCAGATGCCCAAACCACCTCAACTGGCTCCTTTCCTTCCGGAGGAGCAGCGGTTCTACTCCGAGTCCCTCCCGAATGTCCGAGCTCCTCACCCTATCTCTAAGGCTGAGCCCGGCCACCCTACGGAGGAAACTCATTTCGGCCGCTTGTATCCGCAATCTCGTTCTTTCGGTCATTACCCAAAGCTCATGACCATAGGTGAGGATTGGGACGTAGATCGACCGGTAAATCGAGAGCCTGGCTTTCTGGCTCAGCTCCCTCTTCCCCACGACAGATCGGCTCAGCGTCCGCATCACTGCAGACGCCGAACCAATCCGCCTGTCGATCTCCCGATCCCTCCTACCCTCACTCGTGAACAAGACCCCGAGATACTTAAACTCCTCCACTTGAGGTAGGACCTCTCCCCCGACCCGGAGGTGGCAAGCCACCCTTTTCCGGTCGAGAACCATGGTCTCAGATTTGGAGGTGCTGATCCTCATCCCAGCCGCTTCACATTCGGCCGCGAACCTACCCAGCAAGAGCTGAAGGTCAGAGCTGGATGAAGCTAGGAGGACCACATCATCCGCAAAAAGCAGAGACGAGATTCTCCTGCCACCAAACTCGACACACTCCACACCACGGCTGCGTCTAGAAATTCTGTCCATAAAAGTGATGAACAGAACCGGTGGCAAAGGGCAGCCCTGGCGGAGTCCAACCCTCACTGTGAACAGGTCCGACTTACTACCGGCTATGCGGACCAAACTCACGCTCCTCTGGTAAAGGGACTGAATGGCCCTTAACAGAAAGCCACCCACCCCATACTCCTGAGTGTCCCCCACAGGGTGCCCCTGGGGACACGGTCATAAGCCTTCTCCAAATCCACAAAGCACATGTGGATTGGTTGGGCAAACTCCCATGCCCCCTCCATCACCCTTGCAAGGGTATAGAGCTGGTCCACAGTTCCACGGCCAGGACGAAAACCACATTGCTCCTCCTCTATCTGAGATTCAACTATCGATCGGACCCTCCTCTCCAGTACCTTGGAGTAGACCTTTCCAGGGAGGCTGAGGAGTGTGATCCCCCTATAGTTGGAACACACCCTCAGGTCACCCCTCTTAAAGATGGGGACCACCACCCCGGTCTGCCACTCCCTAGGAACTGCCCCCGATGACCACGCAATGTTGTAGAGACGTGTCAACCATGACAGCCCTACAACATCCATAGCCTTGAGATACCCAGGACGAACCTCATCCGCCCCCGGGGCTCCGCCGCTGTGTAGTTGTTTGACTACCTCAGCAACTTCTGCCCCCGAGATCGGACAGTCCATCCCCAGGCCTCCCAGCTCTGGTTCCTCCTCGGAATGCGCATTGGTGGGATTGAGGAGCTCCTCAAAGTATTCCTTCCACCGTCCGACTATAGCCTCAGTTGACGTCAGCAGCTCCCCATCCCCACTGTAAACAGTGTGAGCGAGTTGCTGCCTTCCTCTCCTGAGGCGCCGGACAGTTTGCCAGAACCTCTTTGGAGCCGATCGATAGTCTTTCTCCATGGCCTCACCAAACTCCTCCCACGCCCGAGATTTTGCCTCGGCAACTGCCACTGCTGCACCCCGCTTGGCTATCCGGTACCTGTCTGCTGCCTCCGGAGACCCACAGACCAGCCACGCCCTGTAGGCCTCCTTCTTCAGCCTGACGGCTCCCCGAACCTCTGGTGTCCACCAGCGGGTACGGGGGTTGCCACCACGACTGGCACCGGCCATCTTACGACCACAGTAAGCAACAGCCGCCTCGACAATCGCAGAGTGGAACAAGGCCCACTCGGACTCAATGTCCCCCACTGCTCTCGGGACGTGGTCAAAGCTCTGCCGGAGGTGGGAGTTGAAGACCGTCTTGACAGGTTCTTCTGCCAGGCGTTCCCAGCAGACCCTCACTATGCGTTTGGGTCTGCCAGGTCTACGCGGCATGTTCCCTTGCCATCTGATCCAACTCACCACCAGGTGGTGATCAGTTGACAGCTCCGCCCCTCTCTTCACTCGGGTGTCCAAAACATACGGCCGCAGGTCAGATGATACGACTACAAAATCTATCATCGACCTGTGACCTAGGCTGCCCTGGTACCAAGTGTACCGGTGGGCATCCTTATGTTCGAACATGGTGTTCGTTATGGCCAAACTGCGGCTTGCACAGAAGTCCAATAACAAAACACCGCTCGAGTTCAGATTAGGTGGGCCGTTCCTCCCAATCACACCCCTCCAGGTCAAGCTGTCATTGCCCACGTGAGCATTGAAGTCCCCCAGCAGGACAATGGAGTCCCCTGATGGAGCACTATCTAGCACTCGTCCCAGGGACTCCAAAAAAGGGTGGGTACTCTGAACTGATATTTGGCCCATAAGCACAAACAACAGTCAGGACCCGTTCCCCGACCCGAAGGCGCAAGGAAGCTACCCTCTTGTCCCCCGGGGTAAACCCCAACACACAGGCAGAGAGTCTCGGGGCTAACAAAAAGCCAACCCCAGCCCTCCGCCTCTCACCCGGAGCAACTCCAGCAACATAATGCTGCACTTTAGAAAATGGGTTGAAATATAACATGTTGGTGGAGCTGGGTTCCGACTATCGGCTTGTGGAGCTCTCGGGAGACCGATGTTTTCCACCCGTTTCTCCGCTCCCCGCAGCTCGGTGCATCTCTGTCTGATCGCGGCTTCTGACTGCTGCGCGGGCTGTCGGCTTGTGGAGCTCTGGGATGGAAACCTTTCCACCCGGTTCTCCCGAGCGGCAGCTCTGTGCATCTCAGATCGCAGCGGCACTTGTCTGCTGTGCAGCTGCCGGCTTGTGGAGGTCTCGGAGGCCTCTGTGTTCCACCCGGTTTTACCCAGCGGTCAGCCCGGCATATCTCTGACTCAGAAGCTCTGGTGTTGTGCACAGTTAACTCCGGTTGTAGCTAGGTTGCTACCTCCGTTAGCTTAGGTCCCCACCTCCGCGTTAGCTTCAGGTTAGCTTGTAGCTAGTTCGACCGGGTGTTGATCCCATCCTTACAGCCCCACCCTCAGCTCCACCTCTCTTCCCTTTTGTGGAATTGTCTGGGCTTGACGGAACCTGTGACACGGTCAAAATGGCGGTGGTGGCCACCTCCCATTTTTCTCCAAAAACGTGTTATTGGAGCCTATGGAAACCCATTGTCCAATATTTATATGTCGATGAGCAGACCAAGAGGGTGGAGCCGCTAACAAGTACACACACACACACACATGCTCACAACGATATTGTGACATATCGTACCAGCTAACGTTCTAGGGTACCTCTTAGTACCGATGGCAGATTGAAATTCAAATGCAGTGCAGAGTTTTTACCTGACAACGGCACAACACTGACGGTTTTATGCAGAAAATTATAATTTTTACTAAAATGCCCTAAAGTGCAAAACTAGTGACTACACCTGTCTGCAGCACAATTAGACACACATTTATGTAGTTTATCAGAAATAAAAAGTTGCTTTGGGGGTGACTTGCTCTTTAAGAATTTGTGTGACTGGTACTGTTATGTCCAGTTAGTGTCCCTGATGGACTGGCAACCAGTCCAAGGTGTTCCTGTCTGATGGCTGCTGGAATTGGGAACCAGCTCCATCACCCTAGCAAGGAATCCTGGAACTCACCCAGTTTAAGCCTTTGTCCAGATGCTCCAAACAATCAGAGGGCAGTCCTGTGCTCTGGGTCTTCCTGGTGAACAGTGGAAACGATGGTTTTGAGTTAATGTTCATGTAAGAGAGTGACTTTGTAGTTGTCTGATCACTCTTCATAACACTGGAGTTGATGCACATTTCCATAAGCAGCAAATTTAGCATCTTTCTCTCCATATTTGTCCACAGCTGCCTGCACGTGAAAGTCTCAGAGCATTTTTATACCCTTATGTTTGTTCCCTAGTCTTTCTCAGAGAATCTGCTGTACCACCAGGACTCTGGACAGGTTCAGGTGTTGAATAAATGTCAGGAACACAACAAGTCTCAGTTCCTTACTAATGACCTGACTTGGACTCCTCCCGTGGATGACCATCACATTGTCTGTGTGAGTAGTATCTGTGTGGAGAATGGTAGAGATGCGCAGATTTGTGAGAATTACCTCTGACCTTCACAGTGCCATGATGAAGAGCAAGGAATGCAGTGGCTCAAAAGAGAGAGGCTGACATTTTTTCTTCAAAGTGATTACTACTTCCAATACAGGTAGTACTTCTGGTTCTTTGTTTTAATCTGCAGTATAAAACACATGCTGTACCCTCACTGCTTCAGTCTTTTAAAAATATATTTTTTATCACACCCAGTTATAGATACAGATTCATTGTCATTGAACCAGCATGCTGGAACAAGGAAATTTGACTTCACAGCACGGCTCGACCAAGAAAAGTCTAAACAGGTTCAGGCAGGCTATGAGAGCAGCCGCTGCACGGTGTCCTCCTGAGCCACCATTGCCCCAATACCAAATACGCTTGTTACTCACTACAGTTTACCACTATTGAGCTAAAATGGGTGTGGCAATAGCTGAGACTCATACACATATTGACACATATTCTACATTATTGTGCAAAATCCTGCATAGCTGCACTTTATCATTCACAAAAATTGACCAAAATAAAAAAAAAAATCTCCATCAATTCTCATGAAAAGACTGGTTTGAAACTCTGGTGATATGAAGTCCTTTCAGGGATCAAAGTCCTTTAGTTGGCTTTAGTGTCACCATTTCTACTCTTGTTGCAAGCAGTTTAATTATCTTAATTAAAGGGGTGGTTCCCTGAGAAGCCATTTTAAATGATGGTTAACATGAAAATTGTCTCCTACACGTATCTCCTGCAGTAGCTTCTGATAGAAAACAGTCGGTGAAACTCTAGGATTAGAAAATCCTGACAGATCTACATCACACTGTCACTAACATTCATGGGCTCACCCATCTTGGCTCACGATGGGGAAGGCTGTTGTAGATTTAGCGTCCAGGAAACAGCAGAGAACGTCTCAGCCAGTAGAAGCTAAATGCACGCCAGGCACCCACTCACACTCCCCATACACACCCTAATCACTCTGGTCCCAGTACTGCTGCACAAAGGGTACAACCATCACCGGTTCCCAGAGTTTGACCCTTTCTGCTGGGGTGCTGATGAGCAGGCTCCCCCGCCCAACGCCAAGCAAAGCGACTCACCACCCAGACCCCAGCCAGATGGCCAGATCTCCCTCCTAGCCTCCAGCCCCAGGAAGCCAAGCGACAACAGGGGTGTGCTAAGACCCCTAGTCACCCTCCGCCTGCTCCAATACTGTGTTGGTGCGTGTTGATGAGGTGTATTCGTGGCTGTGGTGAGCGGGCAGTGCAGGCATCGTCTGGCCTATGCCAGCTGATGCCACCACACCACCCCTCTTCCCACTCCAGCCCTCTGTGTCTAATTGTGGGGCGACGGTGGCACAGGAGTTAAGTGCTCGCCCCGTAATCGGAAGGTTGCTGGTTCGAGTCCCGCTCAGTCTGTCGCTGTCGTTGTGTCCTTGGGCAAGACACTTAACCCACGTTGCCTGCTGGTGGTGGTCGGAGGGACTGGTGGCGCCAGTGCTCGGCAGCCTCGCCTCTGTCAGTGCGCCCCAGGGCAGCTGTGGCTACATTGTAGCTCATCCCCACCAGAGTATGAATGTGTGTGTGAATGGGTGAATGACTGATTGTGTTGTAAAGCGCCTTGGGGGGTTCTAGGACTCTAGAAGGCGCTATATCAAATACAGGCCATTTACCATTTAATTGCAGTTTAAAATTGGAAGTGGGCACCGGCACCTGGGATGAGGCTGAAAGATCCCCTTGCCAAATGCTGTTGTATGTGCTCACTCCCAAGGCCTCAAGTGTGTGTTTGGTGGAAATGTTTGATGTGCAAATAAAATTGGGGGGCAGGCTGCCACAGGAATGTGGAAATGGGGTCCTTACCCGCACCCCTGACTTGTCCACCCAAGGAGCCAGCTCCCCCACTGGCCCCAATAGGTTCCTCCGTCACTCAACGGTGATTCACTGTGACTCACTTCTAGTTCCAGAAAAAGGAGCGCCAGAGCTTTTACCCCCAGAGTTCACCTTGCAAGGCAGTCATTCCTACTAGAGACCAGTGCAGATGCATTGATTAAACAAGTGAACCACACCTTAAAGAAAACCTACATTTAACCATTTGCAGCACTGTCACCAGGAAACGTCTTTATCATTTAGCATTATTTAGTTACTACAGAAAATGAAGGTTTGCAGCTGCAGTTCTCTCTTATTACATAGTCATGGAAATTTTTACATTTCTGTGCAAATCCAATAACTAGCTCTAACTTTCAACATACAAGTGAGAACAGCAGCAATAATAGCACCTGTTAACAAACCACAAGTTGTGTGTGTGTGTGTGTGTGTGTGTGTGTGTGTGTGTGTGTGTGTGTGTGTGTGTGTGTGTGTGTGTGTGTGTGTGTGTGTGTGTGTGTGTGTGTGTGTGTGTGTGTGTGTGTGTTCTCCATCCCCAGTGAGTCATGGTGAATGGCTGCTTAAACTGAGCCAGGATCCTCTGGAGGTTTCTTCCTGTTAAAAAGGGAGTTTTCCTCTCCACTGTCGCTGCATGCTTTCTTAGTATGAGGATTGCTGTAAAGACTCTGGGCCTCATTTAACAAGCTTGCTTACGCACAAAGCGGGGTCGGAAAACTGTGTAAGCAACTTTCCACACAAACTTTGGGATATATGAAAGAAAACTTAGCGGAAAATTGTGCTCAACTTTAAGTGACTAAGGACCTGGCTTACGCTAATTTTGGACATGGAGATCACCTGCAGTGCTGCTGCTGAGAAGGATAAAAGTATGAAATCCTGCAGCATTATCACTTGTACTGCTTCGTTTTCACAAAGAACAAGATCCCCCACATACACACACACACATGCGCGCACACACACAGTCTGAACCACGGAATATGGAATGCAGAATATGAGCAGGGAAACAGATTGAGACAGAATGTAATGCGTCTGTGACAGTGTGTGTCCTGTCACTGTAACCCGATTGATCATGCGCCCTGGCTAGTCAGACAAGGGAGATCTCCGTTTGGCTGAATGGTTAGTGCGAGTGACTTTCACCCGGGAGTCTGGGGATCGAATCCCGATTGTACCATGTTTTTTAATATCCGCCACAGATCTCTCTGAAGAATTGACAACATTGACGGCTTCAGCAACGCTGTGCCACTCCGTGGATTTTCTCTTATTTGTTTTGCAAAAGTACTTCTTTTCATTTCTCCATCTCACCCACAGGTACCTCAATTTCTGCTTCTGTGAAATTGAGCTTCCTTGATCTGCCTTGATCTACGGTCGCCATGTCATTGGCGGAGCGCTGCAACAGCTGGCTTATGTATATGCATGAGATTCACAAGGCACTTTGCATTGACTTTATGGCAGTAAGTGGGCGTGGTGAGGGCGGATGTGACTAAAATGCAGCTGAGAAACATTCTAGATAAGTTTCTGATTTATGAAGCGGAGATTGGTGCAGCTGCGCGTACTCCATGTTTGATAGATCACAAACCTACTTGGCGTAAGTACTTTTTTTTTTTTTTGCTGAGCTTAAGTACGGTTTAGTAAGGATTCTACGCAATGTTTGATAAGTGAGACCCCTTTGACACTAGTCAGTGACTCGATGCAACCTGCTGGGTTCCTTATATAGGAAACTTTTACTGATTGGCTTAATGACCTGGGGTCTCATTTTCTGACCCCGTTTTGTGCGTAAGCAAGCTTGATAAATGAGGCCCCTGACTTTTATTGGGATGTTTACTGTGTGAAGGTCCTTGAGATGACTCTGGTCCTGATCTGACGCTTTATAAATAAACTGAACTGAAATCTAAAGTTTTGTGTATATTTGTGTTTTCCAGACTAGCCAAGCTCCTTTTGCAGCAGGACCCACTCTTTAAATGCCAAAGGAGAGAATGCACTTCCAGTCCCACCTCATGCTCAGCATCACAGCTACAGTACCACTACCAGCAAAACATCATGACCAGTTCACATTCTCATGAGAGAACGTCAGAAAAACGGGGTGAGCGTCACAGTCCAGCTTGCACATCTAGTACTAAAGAGCTGGAACGTCGTTATTTTCACTATTTAAACAGAAATTTGTACACTTTCTTCAGAAATAAAACAAGGATGAGAAGATAAGGTGATGATATAAAAGGTAGAGTCAAAATGAGATATAGTTGACAGCAAATTAATTTTTACTGAATGTATAATTGGTGCATAGCATATTTAGATGCTTTTGATGGTCAGTTTTAATAAGGGATGTCCCGTTCCGATATCGGCTCAAAATCACTGTATCGGATTATATCGGACTGCATCAGAAATCTCAGATATCAGCGGTCCTTTATGGGTCACATTTTTGCAACCAATGATAAAAAAGTAGTTATTTTTTCATACTTACTGTTATTGACTCTTGTTCTCTGAGTAAAATCACATGATCAAGCCTTTCATCCATTCCACTCTACGAAACAGGTAAAAGTTAGCATGATTTGTGCTGATATTGAATCCGATCGATATCGGTATCGGTCAATACTGAAGGCTGCAATATCGGTATCGTATCGGAAGTGAAAAACTTGTATCAGGACATCCCCAGCTTTAATATACTGGATCTGAAAAAAGTCATGTTCATTTCCTGGTTGGTGTTCCAGGTGTTCCTGCAGCTGTTTGGAGCTAAACGACTGATGTTCGTTTCCCCTGTTGTCTTTATCAGAATTTTGCTCCCATCGGAGATACGAGCACACTGAGGAGCTCCTCCTCAGTGCCTGGCTCTCAAAGTGGTTACTCCTTTGCTTACAGGCGCGGTAAACATGGTCCATGGTCAGAGTCGTTTGACCACTGTCAGGATCCCTTCAGCAGAGGAAGCCAGAGAGCAGGCTAGTGAGAAGAAAGATGAAGATGACTCTGGGGGAGGCAGACGAACCGAACGGGAGGAAAAGCCTCGGGTGATGGGGAGCAGACTCACTCACCAGAAAACCGCTCTGAATGTGAGTCGGTGCGGCATCTGCTGCTTTAGCAGAAAGGAAGGCATGGATGAGTTTAGGAGGTTTCTGAGAGGAACCGCTGGAGAAAGCATCTTTTATCTGTGGATGGATATAGAGAGACTAAAAGCTACTCGGCACAGCGAGCTCAAAGCCAGGTAAGCCTCCAGAAGACTCTTGCCACGTTGGTTCTGTGCTTTCAAATGAGCAGTGTCATTAGACGTAATCAACTCGAATACCTATAATCAGATTTCCACATGATTAAACTATTTTAGTTATGGATTGAATTTGTTCTGAGTCGTGAGATGGTCAGTTAATAAGAATGCAACACACCTACGGGCCCAGGTAGAAAGCCCCAAATAAACATGAGCTTAGTTTGAAGCAGCATCTTCAGATGGTGTGAACGTGTTGTTATGGACTCCTTTGGTCCAGGTAATATCAACATAAAGATAAACCAGAAATTTGTACCATTTATTTTCCACATAGAAACTGTACAGTAAGGTAAAAATACATAAAATTTGTGTTAATTTGTGAGGCAGAATAAATCCGTCTCCCTCATCCATGAGGATCAGACACTAGGAGTTATGTGGCAAATGTTCAGTGAATTTACTTCTTATGCACCAGATTTTTATTTCTGCTTTTTTGAATGAAAACAAACTAAATGTTTCCTAATTCATGCAGTTGTAAAATGAAGGTGTTTCACAAACTCTTCAATATAATTTAGTGAAGCCTTTTCAGTTGGTGTGAATGAAAGCAGAGGAGTGGTGGTTGGAAGCTGAGACTTGTGTCTGTGATGCATGTTGTTGTTGTTGTTTGTTTTCCAGGACTTTGCACCTGATGATGAGCTGCTACCTGGATCAGAGCAGTTCCAGAGCTGTGAACATGGTGCTGCTCTCTGATATGGGACTGTCTACCTCCCCCTGCTGGACGGAGAAACAACTGCAATCAGTTCAGCCCAAGCTAACGGAGTGTCTGCTCTACTACTGGTCTCACATACAGATCATTACTGTTGCTTAGAGCGACTGCTCTTCAGTGAACCCCTGAGCATCTGTAGATTAGAACACATTACAGGTGATGCTGTGCTAAGAACGAGTCTAGGTGTAAGTCTTGTTAATTCCTCCTGCCTCCCGCAGGGCTCCACACTTCTGTTCCTTTAAGTCTGTTCCTAATGACTGCCCTGATGTGGGACTGAGGAGGAACATTTGTGGCTGCGGGTGTCTGTCAGGTGTACATCCCAGCTTCACCTCTACACTTCAGGACCACGTCCACCCTGGCTTCTGTTTGCCCCACTTCCAACAACGCCTTGAACAGGTAGGCCCTTGTAGGTATATCAGTGACTTGCATCTTCCTTGAGGGATTTTGATCATCTTAATTTTAGAGGAGAGTTATGGTTGGGATCTGAGATATATATTTATGCATGTATAATATGAAATTGTGTTTTCTATTTCCTCTTTTTCATTAGTTGTCTAGGAGACGCCATTTGATTTCAGGAACAGGAACTGAAAGGCTGGTCCAGGCTCTGAGTGTTGAATCCTGTTCTGGGATGTACTTCACACACTTCTGTCAACAGTCTGGGAATCAGGTACAAAATGTGGCTCAGATGTGGTGTCAGTCTTAGGGCAGGGGGGTACAACAATGAGAACCAGTGCTATGAGGAAAGATCATGGCAGCATCATCTCTACATGTTTGATTTGAACCTTGAGCATAAGTAGCATGACCTCTAGCAACGTCCCATATCACAGATTTAGTAGACAAAAGAAGGCTTCCCATTGCTAGCACCCCTCCCAAAAAAGGTACCAGAATCTCCTGCAATGTTCTCCACATGCTGATCCTGCCTTCCAGCTTCCACAGACGGAACCTTGTTCCCCACATTCCAAGATTCCCCCATCGGTGCAGTCCACACCAGCATCTACAGATCTGACTGTCATTGCCTTGTAAACACAAAGAAGAGCCAAGTGCAATGTGCTCCTCACCTTCTGATCTGGTGTATGTCCGAGGTACCATCCTGAAAATTCTGACTGTAAATCTTTGGAAGGTGCATGTCACCAGTCTCGGACGTTTTGAAATGGTGCCAGGTAATACATAATGCTCCCACTCCTGAACAAACGAGTCCTATTATTCATGCAACACAAACTCAACAAAGTTGACCTGTGCACATAGACGCCCCATCAATGACAGGCCAGTACTGCAGAGGTGTTGGCACATTTTCTGGGTATCTACATGTTCAGTCGTGTTTCTCGTTCCTCAAATACCCAATGCCAACAAGTTGGCTCTTATTGTAAAGGTACTATACTGGCTTTCCATCAATATACTACAGTACTATTGTAGTATGGTATAGTAAAGTACAGTAAACGGTTTTATTGAAGAGGAGAGTCTTGACTGAAATACCATTTCCAAACTGTGTGTTTTTGTCTGACTTAGCTGTGGGTCAACACAGTTTACTTCTGGACAGACCTGCAGCACTACCACCAGCTGTTCCACCAGGATGGATCCAACCTCTATGCAATCCAGGGGGAGGCACAGGTCGGCTACGCTACTGGTCATTTTCACATAAATATGAAAAATGAATGCTTGGAAGAAATAATCATGAAACAGTTAAAACATTTATTATATAAATTTCAATTCAACATCTAAAAGTGAACAAAAATCAGGATTCCAACGATTGTTCTGTAGAACTTTCCTTCTCTCTCTCTCTCTCTCTCTCTCTCTCTCTCTCTCTCTCTCTCTCTCTCTCTCTCTCTCTCTCTCTCTCTCTCTCTCTCTCTCTCTCTCTCTCACATACATACATACATACATACATACATACATACATACATACACACACACACACACACACACACACACACACACACACACACACACACACACACACACGAGGTATTCTAACCTATACGAACACGTGACTTCGACCCTCCCAGCGTTGCTCCAGTACGTCACCAGAACCATTGTGCCTGACTCCAGAGGGAATGGAGGGAAAACCTTTTTTCTGTCCGCTCGACACCGAGTTCACCTGAAAAATTACATGAATTTGTTTCTAGAAGCCGACTGATATGTTTTTTTAAGGCCGATACCAATTTTTAAAGAATGAAGTTGCCAATGGCCAATATCCAAAGCCGATTATTAAGGCTGATAAATACACGTTTTAGCAGCACATTGATGGTGAAAGACAATTGAACACTCACTGTGTGCAATATAAAATAAATGGTCATTAAATCTCTTAATATTTATTGAACTTTACATATAAAACAAACAAAATATTAACAATGTTCAAACTGTTTCAGATCAATAGAAAAGTGTCTGTTAGATTTCCCAGAGTGGGATAACCTTCCTTTACTTATCCAACTCTGGGAAATCTAACTTTACTTCTGAGTGGAATATCCCCTCAGGTGTAAACAATGAAAAAGGCACCAGATTTTTATTATTTTTAATCAGCTTTTAAAAATAATCTGGACCGATGTAGAAAAACTTGAATATATCGGCCCAACGCCGGCCTCTACTTGTTTCTATAGTGCTGTGGCCAAGAGGTGAATGTGGGTGCCATTTATTTGGTGTGATGGCAGCACTGATGAGAGGGACTAAAATGTACTGGAGCACTGATGATGATGATGATGATGATGATGAAAGTAGTTGTGGTTTTCTGACTGAGAGGATTGTCTCCACCTTCTCCCTCCAGCTCCTTTACTCCACGTACATTTCCAGCTTTGCCAGGAGGAGCATTAGTGTTGACGTGGAGGTCCAGAGGTCCGTGTACGACAGACTGCTGCCTATCTCACAGATGATCCAGAGGGCTGTGGAGAGCAGACAACCCATCATTCAGCTGCTGTTTGAGGGTATTGGGAAACAGGCTTACATCAGACTGCTGCTTACCACTCAGGAGCTGTTTGATGATGCTGAGGAACACGCATTAAGCATCCTCCTGGATCCTTGGACGATGCTGATCAACCAGGACAACAGGTTATTCCAGCAGGTGAACACCACACTCTTTACGTTTGGCTTGTATTTGGAGAAAACGACTCTCATTGCCAACAACTAACAGCTGTACATGGTTACAGAACACATCTCTGACATGGATCTCTGTTTTAAAAGCCAGATTTTACAGCTTTTCCCTGCGTGTGATAGCCGTAAGCCATCAGTGAACAACAGGATCCAGGACACCATTCAAATCCATAATACAACAGAGTGCTTTAATCCAGAGGTCCTGACACTCCGGACATTCCCACAAAACACGAATAAACAAGCCCAGGGCAACACATCGAGCAAAAGAGATCTGATGCATCGCGCGTTTTGTGTCTAATAATTGGTGTCAAATTAGCTGAATGACAAAATTTCATATGTATCGACGATTGGGGTGTTTAGAGGCCCTCTCAACACCCATTAAGGCTTAAGGCCCTGGGTGGATAAATCCTCCTCCCAGGTTTTCATTCCTGCAGACTTCATGACACTTTAGGTCAACAGGTTGTTATAAATATATAAAACAGGTTTTTGTTTGGGTGCATCTTGAAACCAGCTGGTCACTGGGTGTTCACTCAGTCCTGATCCCCTGGCCTCACAACCAGACCTCATTCTGATGTAAATAAGAAAAGAATATATCTAATATATGTGAACGTTGTACTACCTTTACTGTCCCAGTTTATATTATAAAACGGTTCCTCCCTAGACGAGAGAAAGTTGTTGTTCCATAAAGGAGAAGATGAATACCACTGATGTTTTAGATCTTTCTTCAGCCCTAAATGTTCCTCATACATGCATCAAAACTGGGCTGTAATGTAGACCAGCTTTTTTTGACACTCCTGTGAAAAGGAAATCCTTTAATTTCATTGGTGGGATAAGATCTCAGTCAATTACTTTCACGTAGGATTCCTTTTATCACCTAACCAGCAGGATAAACTCCTCAAAACAGGTCTAGTGATACATCCACATCCTCCATTAGCTCTTTCTAACGGCAGTAGCAACCACCTAAGGCCAGGATGATTACTGTTCCAAACATAACTTAGTAATAATGAATTAAATCTGTGCCAAAGGCTTGCTGTAGGGGGAGGCGGAAACACAGAACCTAAGGTTTATTCTAGGTAACACGGTCATCTGGACAACTGAAGCCGAAGCTGGTGGGTGTTTGTACCTGTTAACCTCCTTACTGCCTCCCTATCTTTCAGCACTGACAGTTTTAATGCCCAAGTAGGTAGTTTCCTTCACTGTAACCATCTGAGGAGGTAAAGGTGTTTTATGACCAACTAACATCAGTGCTGACTTGGAATAATTGACCTCTTGAGTTTATCTAACACATGTGGAAGAGAGTTTTGCACATCTGCCACATACATTAAGGTATCATCGGCATAAAGTGGTATGGGATGTGATGAAGAACCAAAGGTAAATGGAGCTATTTGGGGACATTCCCTAAGAAGTTGAGCCAGTGGTTCAGTCAACTTAGCTAAATAATTCTTCTAGACCAGAGCCTTTGGTGAGATGTTTGTTTACCTGCCAACAGTTTCGGATTCCTGCTTAAAGCCTTCTTCATGGGCTTCTTCAAGCCACACTACAAACGGTAGAGGATTTCATTCTCATCCAGACTAAAGCCTTTGAGGTCTTGCTCTAGTTGTTTTGAATTTTCACAGTGGAGGTCTGTTTATCTGAAGAGCACATTTACTACTGAGAACAGCACAGCATCTAGCTCATGCGTGGACATTACAGTAACACGCGACACTCCCTCATGACACACACCGGGAAAACCGGACATAAACCGTGTCATCGCTCCGACAGATGACAGCCCACGAAGAAGGCTCGAAGCAGGAAGTCGAAACTGTTGTCAGGTAAAATAAGCGTCATTAATACGAGGACAGGGGAAGTCCTGGTCTAGTCCCTCTGGAACAAGTCAGATGTGGCATGCTGTTGGGTCAGGCTACATAACGTCTGTATCGTGGTAATGAACCCATCTCATTTACATTATTTTACAAATACTACACGATCATTTTCCTCATCTAAGAACATCAGTCCGCAGGCTGGTGGTGACTTTCATCACCTTCTGTTGTTTTTCTAAAGGAACTCCTTTTTCTGAGGATAAGAAAGCCTAGAAAAGTTTAGAAACTCAGTTTCCAGATAAAAGAAACTGTTTTACTGAAAATAACTAAAATTTAAATAAACCGTTCCTGTGTGTGTGTGTGTGTGTGTGTGTGTGTGTGTGTGTGTGTGTGTGTGTGTGTGTGTGTGTGTGTGTGTGTGTGTGTGTGTGTGTGTGTGTGTGTGTGTGTGTGTGTGTGTGTGTGTGTGTGTGTGTGTGTGTGTGTGTGTGTGTGTGTGTGTGTGTGTGTGTGTGTGTGCATTCAGGTGTTTGCACGTGAAGTAGTCACCTACATCGATAGTCAGGAGTACGAAGAACCCCAGAAGCCATGTGAGGTACCAGAGGAGGACCTGAGACAGGTCTGCCATCTTCATGGTTGTTGTTTGTGTGACCATACTGTCCTGTCAGTCTGAGTCACAGCTTCACTGTAGCTCCATGAGGATATTTAATAAATCCCCCGCATGCTGACACCTGATGCCTTTTCTCTCTTGTACCTTTGTGAAGGAGTCATGGCAACTTCCTTCAGCCATGACTCCATCTACTCCAGACTACCAAGACCATGGTTTATGTTCCATACTTCAGAATCATGACCTCAAGCTCTTCACGTCTTTCTTAGAGAAACAGAATGCCAGGTGACCTCAGACGTATTGGTGTGTTGCTGGGTTTATGTCATCTATAGGATTATTTTGACCATGTCTGTTCTGTCTAGGATCCATCTGATGTGTTATCTGGACCTGGAGCAGTACAAAGGAACGTCTGAGAAAGACGGGGACATCAGACAGCAGAGATCTTCTCAAATTGCTGCCAAATACCTGAACGAGAACTACTTCTTTGGCCCAGACAGCCCTGCCACAGCAGAACAACAGAACAATGTACTTCAGTCAGTCACAGAAGCACCCAAAGTCATAATTACGTACTACTGCTAGCTCAGTCTTCATGGTATGAGTGTCTGGCCTGACACTCGGAGGTCAGGGTTCAAATCCCAGTCAGGTTGTACCAAAGACTGTAAAAAATGGGACCCAACAGCTCCCTGCTAGACACTCAGCATTAAGTGGTTGGATTGGGGGGTTAAACCACCAAATGGTTCCTGAGCGTGTCTGCAGCTCACCGCTCCCCCAGGGGATGGGTCAAATGTGGAGAACAAAGTCCACACACACCAGTGTGTGGACTTTAGCGAGCACCACAGAGACAAAGGGAGATGTGAGAACTAAACTCTGGTGGACGCTCAGCATCCAGATGTTCTCCACCTCAGACTTCAGGCTGATAGTTCCGACATCAGGGATGAGACAACATGGCCAGAGTGGTGTGTGTGCTCAGTTCAGAGATGAAGTGCTGGTCAGATGAAATGGATCCAGACATTCCTAGTTGAAGGTTAGGGTTCTGGATTCTAGGATTATGGTGCATGAAGAATGTGAGGAGTTGACTAATAGCCACGATGCTGCATTTATTCGTAGGACACCGGTCCACAGAGTTTACGATTCACAGAGAAAACATTCCTCTGAGCGACGCAGCTGGGCTCTCACTGTTTACTTGTGCATTCAGCTCTGAGCCATCATTCAAGCCATATAAATGTCATGACACCATGAAGGTTACTAATTAATATTCAAGCATCTTTAGAAATGATCTTTTAGCAAGTTTGGTTTTCTCACTTTGAAGAGAAAACGTGCAGCTGCATCAGTGACGATGTTCTCTGACCTTTGGTTCCAACATGTAGTGTCAGTCAGACCCAAGACAGGTGAGACCTCCCCATCCACCTCCTACCTGAGCTCTACAGCTCAGGTAGACATCAGAGTGCTCTGATGCAGAAGGACCAACAGCTTCACCGCTTTGGCCCTCCACTCAGTCACACCATGCCCTCTTTCATCTTCTGACTCCCACTACAGGATTGGTTCTCATTCCAGAAGCTGAAGATTGTACCAGCGCACACGGCCCTGTCTGTGTGCAAAATAAAACAAGCAAAAGTACAAAGCAGATATAAATGGGGCATGGAGACAGGAACCAGAGGGGAGATGAAGAGATTGTGGACATGATGCAGAGCACAGCAGGAGACAGGAAGGGGAGATGCTTTCCTCAGGATTTACCCTGTTAGCTTATTTTTAAGCTCTTTTACCTCGTGAGCTCTTTATCAGGTTATGTAGAAATAAATCTCTAATATCAGACACTCACAGCCACATCCTTTGTGTGTGTGCATGCTCAGGTCCTGTGTTTGGCTGGTGGGCTGGAGCGTCTGAAGTTGGAGTGTGTCTCCAATCCAGTTGCTGTGGAGATCCAGAACATTGTCAGATCTCTCTTAGAGGAAACATGGCTGCCTGCGTTCCTGTCCACAGAAGCGTTAATTGAACAGCAACACAAAGAGAAGGTCAGCATCCTGATTTCTCACGCAGGTCTTTGTGCACGTCCTAGCTCACAGACGAGCTAAAAATGACAGTTCCAGAAAAGGTTTACATATTTTATTTCAGAATCAGCTTTATTGCCAGTGCCCTAGCGTACTGAAGCATAGAAATGTGTCTTTGCTGTACAGCCTGACCAAGGTTAAACACACACATGCAGAACAAAAGCAGATACAGAAAGACCACGAGAGCAGCCGCCAAGGCGCTCGCTTGCCTTTAGACAGAAAAGGGTTACATGAAGATGGGGAGGGGCATTTCAGTTACTCCTGAAGGGGGGCAGCTCTGCCACGCAAAAAAACCACCTCAAACATATAAACACTAACATCAGACAGTTCACCGACAAGAGTCTGCAATGGGGGGCTGGGTCCCTGTTTTCCCCCAGAGAGAGCCGCAGCCTTGTGCGCTCGATCGCTGTTGAAACACAGGTGGAAGGGAGATCGAGGGAGTGAAGAGCACATCGACTCATTCAGTTGATGGCCTCACAAGGCTAACGCCACCAATCAGAAGGAAGGGGGTAGGGCAGGTTTCACAGTATCTATCTGCATTCCTTCATGGAGGTTTTTTCTTCTCGCAGCTCAAGGCTACCAGGGCTCCAGATTTAGTTAAGAAGAATTGTTTTGGGGCAGGCAGAGATAATTTTCGCTCTACCTTTCAGTTTTTAACTGATCATTCAGTCTCTTTGTAAATCCAATTATTGGGTTTAAGGTTGCTCATATGCAGTGACTTCGTATCCATTATGCGCACTAACACCGGGATCGCAGCTAGAACTTGCCATTCACCTCGAGCAGCGTCCCGGTCTGAGCAGTCTCCACACCACTGAGACTTTCCATGGGTACGGGTTGAACTCCAGTCGCCCCCGACTTCCCAATTTTCCATAATACCAAAAATCCTTCCACTTCAATTAGAAGAAATCCAGTAATTATCAGGCCAAAAATCCATGCGTCTTCAATGTCCTCCACGGACAGCTGGGAAAAGCATTTAATATTCCACTCATTCCAGGAATCCAGAATATACATCACCGGGTGCGTTTCATCCAGACAAGTTGGAGCCCCCTGCTCCGTTCTCATTGTTGAGAGAATCTTGTCAATTGTGTTGAATGACCAGTTGACCAAATCCATGATTTAATAAAAATAGAGTTTTCAGGAGGAATGCAGAGGGGTTCTGTGTAGGCAGCCAGGACGAGAGCCTTGGGAAAAGATGAGGGAGAGAAAAGAGAAGTGTCTGTACTCTCCAAGTGCCTGAAGATTTGTACCAAACATTAATATGTTTTTACTTTCTATAGCATGACCTGTTGCAAAGATTATAGTAAACAATACTCACGATGGCTCTGCAAAAAGCGCAGTGAAGTTCAATTAAATCAGTTCAGTTTATTTCTATAGCGCCAAATCATGATGAGTTGTCTCCGGGCACTTTACAAAGTGAACAATACAGGTCAGTTCATTAACCTCGTGGGAGCCAAACTTGTATTTAGTGTGATTTACAAGAAAAAACATATCTAGTTATTACAGATTACTCGACTGTAATTAATGGAAACAAAATTACTACAATTAAAATACAATAAAAATGTCAGATAACCTAAAAAAGAAAGACAACAAAAACAGTAAATTAAAGTCAATATAAAGGGTCTATAAATAATAACAAAAAGGTCAGAGTAGAAGAGAATAAAATTTTGAAGTGCAAGTAGCTAATGTCCACATATGTGGACACAGGGCCCTAGGAAGTCAAGCCAATCAGTAAAAAGTTTCCTATATAAGGAACCCAGCAGGTTTCATCGAGTCACTGACTTGTGCCAGTGACTTTACAGCAATCCTCATACTAAGCAAGCATGCAGCGACAGTGGAGAGGAAAACTCCCTTTTAACAGGAAGAAACCTCCAGAGGATCCTGGCTCAGCATAAGCAGCCATCCACCATGACTCACGGGATGGAGAAGACAGCACACACACACACACGCACACGCACACACACACCATATATACCAAGTCATGTTTCTATGGTTACGTTGTGATTTCTTAGTAAATATTGTATTTGGTGAGAGATAAACTTTATTGTATTTATCCTAGTGAATATTTAATTAAACTGGTAAACTAGTAGTAGCACATTCAATGTCAAAGAGAGTAAAATGTATTAATAATTATTTATTATTAGGAGAGGGAGAATGTTAAGTGGTTAGCAGTGTGCCAACCAATGCATGATCCGATCTGTGAGAATACCTAACTCTTGACCTGCCACCGTTGTCACATTTCAAATCATTTTGTAAGCAACAGAGGAAGAAAATGTGATCACATGTACCCTGTGTGCTTGTGGTGATCCCATGGAAACATATTTTCATCTTTGAGTACATCACTCTGAGTTTCCCTCAAAAGACAGGAAATTTGTATTCCAGCTTCATAAGGAGCATCCCTACAGTGCCTCTAAGTGCTGTGACTGAGCTGATTCTCTCAGGCAGAAACACATAAACCTCAGATTCTCCCCGTCTCATGCTATCAAGTTTACTATGTTTAGCGATGCAGCTCCTCATTAAGTAATGAGGGACAGATGCAGTTTAACATTACACAGTGGAGAGGGAGATGGGTCTGAGCGTGGAAAAGTCGATTAAAAGGTGATGAAGAGGACAGAAGATCAGAGTGAGAGACGTCAGAGACGCTCAGAAGGGTTAAGGAAACAAAAACGATGGAGATTCAAACTAAAACGGACCAAGTCAGAGCAGAAGATATGGTTAGTGTCTCATGTTAGTCCTAGTTTACAAAGTGTCTGACCTTTGGCCTTTGTGTGTCTTGTGTTTCTATGTGGGCAGACAGGCTCGACAGTGACCAGCCTGGGGAGACATTAGGGATGCTTCTGAGGAATCTAAACAAATTTAAACAGAGACAAATAAAGCATATCCTGGCCTGAGGGGTTTAAACACTGGCTTCAGCCTTAAGATCACTTTTCTAAAGCTGGACCCTGGAAAAGCATCAATAAAATGTATCTTTCTGAAGTAGATTATTGAGTTACTCGGCTCAGTTTATGTTCTTCCTCCTCATTATATAAAGTCTGGGGAGCAACACACACTCCTAATAAAGAATTGTACATGATATCATATCTTTATGACTGCTATCACTATTTTTAGAAACATAACATTAATTTAATGAAGTAGTATCTAAAGGTGGTTTTCTCTCTGCAGGCCCAGGGTTCACAGACCAGCGGTCCAGAGGAGATCCTGCTTCAGCAGGTTCTGCTGAACCCAGACAGCTGCCAGAAGTTTGAGCTCTTTGTTTCATCAAAGGGAGAGTTTCTGGAAAACGATGCACGATTCTGGGTGGAGGTCCAGAAATACAAGGTAAAATATGAACATTCAGTCTCAAGGCAGTTTCTAATCCTCCTTGAACTGTCACCTTAAGCCGGGCGTACACTGTACGACTTTTTCACTTTTTTGAGCCAAGTTTCCACTCCTGCGAGAATCCACAAGATCGGGGCGAGTTTTGCGCTGAGCGTCGTGTAGTGTACAGGGGGTTACGAGAGGCGATTAACACCATGTGACCAGCTACCGATCAGCAATCGTGAGCTCGCACAAACTTCTGGCATGTTTGAAATTTTGCTCGTCCCTCGTGAGGGTATCGCACTGTTGAAGTGGCGCTGTGAGCAGCTGCGACCCAAAAAGTATCAGAACCGCTCACGGCGCATGCGCAATCCTGCATCAACACCGCTCACCCGCTATTTCCCTAATAACACACGTTGTTCGTTTTTATTTCTACACGTTATTTTTACACACAAAGATTGTCAAGAAAGCGTGTTTGTCGTGTTCATGTCAAATGAAACTGAGCACAAAACACGGATTTACTTTTATTTCGTTTTCCTCATCCAACCCCCATAAATCCCTGTGTGTCCCCCTGCAGCACTCCCGAAGGACAACAGGCAAAACAAGACAAAAAAGTCTGACGTGTTGTGTAAAAACTGCTATTTTTAGCATATTTTTTAGGTCCGACGTGTTGCTACCAGACGTACAGTGTGAGCACATGGCTCGTGAGATCTGCCCTGCGAGGAAGTCGTACAGTTTGAGCTGAAGCTGAGTGCTACGAGTGAAAAAGTCGCACAGTGTCCGCCCAGCTTTACCTGGTGAAGGAGTTTATGTACCCTAATGACCCTAGGAGCTATGTTGTCCAGGGTCATTAGGTTTGGATGTTGCCCCTTCACTTTTTGAATCTATGCCACGAAGAATTAAGGCAGTTCTGAAGGAAAAAGGGTATCTAACACAGTACTAGCAAGGCGTACCCAAGAAAGTGGCCAGTGAGTGTATTTTATATATAAATTGTTTTATTGCTTGAAATAAATAAAGTAAATCCAGGGGGAGCTGTTTTAATATCAGTCACCTCCCTGGAGAGAAGGCCCAGATTTGGCTGGTTTACAGGTCTTCTCAGCTCTGGGAACTGCTTGAGATCCCTCTTGAGGAGCTGGATATGACTGTGGAGTCTCTACAACTCAGCTTAGGACAAGTGGAATGAAATGGATGGATGGATTTAGTCTGAATTACAGAGTTAATCATGATAGATCTGGTCTTAGTTGTCCGACGTCAAATGGAAAGATCACACTACTGCTCCTAAGTGCTGCCACCTTTTTATTCTTGTGTTCTTCTCGTCTGCAGGATTTATTTCACTCCCACTGTGACGAGGGCGTCCTCCAGAACAAAATCTCTGTTCTCATCGACTGTTTCATCCACACCTGCATGTCCCCCCCTCTGCGGATAGACGTCCCTCCAGACCAGGTGCAGCGGATTCTGGAGAAACGCTATGAGGTGGACCCTTACATCTTCAGAGAGGCACAGGTATGGTGTTACTGTGTAAATACAGAGGACATCTGTGTGTTCTTCATGTTGCCTATTTGCTCATTTAGATGTCAGTGTTTGATAAGTTGCTGAGGTTTTGGCCCGAGTTCCAGGAGCTTAGCAGCAGTCTCTCAGACGAGCAGCTTCTTGCTTTGCTGCAGAGGAAGCAGCAACAATACAGAGCCAAAAGACGGAGACAGAAAAGCAAAGAGGAGGAGATAGCCGCAATGAGAATCACACTGGTGAGGAAAAAATATATATATAATTATAGGAATTTACAAAATTCCTGAAATAATCCAGTCTAACTTCTTTTTGTACAGGAAGAGCTGGAGAGACGGTTAGAGGAGGATGAGACGGATCAAGATGATTTAAAAAGAAAAGAAAAAAGACAAAATTCATCAAAGGTAAACAAGTAGAAATGTGTTTAAACCGAAGTTAGCTGTGACTACTATGCTTTAAAGAAATACTTTGTGTTTGTAGAGGTAAAGGGTGTTGTAGATTTTCAGCAAGGCTTGATTCTGGGGAGACAGTCAGGTTTTATTCAGGATGCTCCAGCATCTGCACAACGTCATCACATAATCAACTCCACCATTTCTGTATTTATTTATTATCCATTCAAGATTATTTTCCCACACTAGGACTTATGTAGCTGCAGAGTTTGTAATACACATTACAGTTTTCATACGATAGTTATGTTTGTTAAGGGATCAAATCCATCCTAACCTGAAAGTCATTTGAAAGCTGTCTTTTGTATTTACTCAGATTAAATTAGTCTGACATAGAAATTTGTTTTCTTCTTCTTCTTTTGAACAAGGTCTTTTTATACAACTCGGCACAAAAACCGTGGTGTTGCTGGACATTTTGCTCAGTTTTATGGCTTTTTGTCAGACTGTGAACCAGTGACTCAGCCCCCTAGCTAATCAGCAGTCAGAATCATGATGTTGGCCCAACTCAACCTTACCAGGTACCTCAACGAAACAGGGGCTAAAAATGGGGGAGAAAGTGGAGGGGAAAATACCAAACCGTTCCTTTGGAAACTGTGGTCAGGACGAGCTGCACTGGTCCGAGTAGTAGTGCTCCTGGAAAATTAGCTTTAGTCTGTCCACCCATTATGAGGTAATGTGAGATGTCAGGTAACTGAGAAAACAACCTAGTGAAAAAGGAGTGATCATCCCTATTTGATACCGATACTAGGACAACTGGGTGTGTGAACAATTCACCCACCACAATTATACTACAACACCCTGCAGAATCTTTATGTTCACTGGAAACAGTCAATTGTACATTATTACTAATGTTGATAACAACCCTCCCTAGATTTAGAGCCATAAGTTGACTGAAACACCCGACCAGACAATTTTTTCCTAAAATGAGATTCATCTACTGAACAAATACATTTCTCCTGAAAAAGGCAATATTTGACTGAGAACCTTCACCACCTTAAAGGCATGTGTGTGTGTTTGTTTATGACTTGGCTTTAAACACCCGCTTTAGACTTGGGATCAATTTTGGTGATCATGTTACTTATTCATGTATGTATGTACGTATGTATGTATGTATTTATTAATTTCTGCTTATGTAGTTATGTAAGGCAAGGCAGCTCTATTTGTATAACACACATCATACACAAAAGCTATTCAGTGTGCAGAAGCAAGAACAAAACATTAAAATCAACGTGACAACATAAAACAGCAGATTTTAAAATCAAATTTAAAATACACATAAAAATTAGATGTAAAAATAAAATAAAAGACAAGGTTAAGGAAGGTGGAGTATAAGGATAATTTTTTCAAAGGCTGATGAATACATGAAAGCTTAAAATTGAGATTTTAAAGGTTTCTAGAATTGGGGCCTATTGAGGTCACGAGGAAGCTGATTCCATCTGTCAGCAGCATAGTAGCTAAAAGCAGCTTCGCCCTGCTTGGTTCTGACCCGGTTCTACCAGCTGACTACTTCCCAAGGATTTCAGAGCTCTGCTGGGAGGACCAACATGTGTTTTGGACCCATGCTATTGAGTGATTTATAAACTAGCATAAGCACTTTAAAATAGATTCTGTAGTTTACTGGTAACCAGTGCAGAGATTTGAGAACATTCAGTACCTTTATTTGGTACAAGTACACAACCAGTCCAAATAAACATGTGAAATCATTTTAGAAGGTCTGGTTAGCAACCATTCTTAACAAAGGCTTGTCACTGACAAACTATCTTTAGCACAGTAACTTTTATGTTTAAAAATTTTAAAACATACTGGCAAACAATATTTTCAAACTTTGTTACTGAAGGTGGTCTTATTTCTCAGCAGGCCCAGGGTTCACACACAAACAGTCCAGATGAGATCCTGCTTAGACAGGTTTTGCTCAACCCCACCAGCTGCCTGAAGTTTGAGCTCTTTGTCTCGTCAAAGGGAGAGTTTCTGGAAAACGATGCACGATTCTGGGTGGAGGTCCAGAAATACAAGGTAAAATATGAACATTCAGTCTCAAGGCAGTTTCTGATCCTCCTTGAACTGCCACCTTAAGCCGGGCGTACACTGTACGACTTTTTCACTTTTTTGAGCCAAGTTTCCACTCCTGCGAGAATCCACAAGATCGGGGCGAGTTTTGCGCTGAGCGTCGTGTAGTGTACAGGGGGTTACGAGAGGCGATTAACACCACGTGACCAGCTACCGATCAGCAATCGTGAGCTCGCACAAACTTCTGGCGTGTTTGAAATTTCGCTCATCCCTCGTGAGGGTATCACACTGTTGAAGTGGCGCTGCGAGCAGCTGCGACCCAAAGAGTATCAGAACCGCTCACGGCGCATGCGCAATCGTGCATCAACACCGCTCACCCGCTATTTCCCTAATAACACACGTTGTTCGTTTTTATTTCTACACGTTTTTTTTACACACAAAGATTGTCAAGAAAGCGTGTTTGTCGTGTTCATGCCAAATGAAAATAAGAATAGAATAGTAAATAAGAATGTGTACCACCTCTTTCAACAAAACCCAACCAACTTTGTTGCTATGGTTGTTGCTGACAAGCACCTGAGCTTTTAAGATTGTTTATTGCCTCGCTAACTAGCTAAAATGCTACTGTATGTTAGCTTTGGCCAGATTTTAAGATCATCCTCCCACTCCTCTGGTGCAGTAGGCATGAGTGTAACGGTGTCCTGTTTGAGCGGTGACAGCTGGTATTTCTTATAAAAAGAGGATTTGCGTGAAAGGATTGCATTGTCTCATTGTAAACCAATGCAGACCGGACGTTGTTTACGTCTTTCGCGCAAAGCATCACGGGCCGTATGAATAACGTGGATAGAGACTTAATAGTTATAATATTTAGGGAACGTTATTAAAGAGACCCTTATTGTAGTGTTTCTCAGAAGTCCAATTACAAAACACTTCTATGAAGTTGTTAGGACTCTTAGTGATATGTTAGTTCTGTTTATTTCTTATGTTTTGTTTTTGTGAAATTAAAAACTTCTGCAAGGCTTCAACAAGATTCTGGTCCACCATCGGGCGTCTCAGGAGTGGAAAGCAGTGTGCTACCAACACTGTTTACAATGGTGACGGTGTGCTGCTGACCTCGAATCAGGACGTTGTGGATCAGCTGGCGAAGTACTTTGAAGACCTCCTTAATCCCACCAGCACATCTTTCACAGAGAAAGCAGAGTCTGGGACTTTGGGTTGGACTCACCAATCTCTGGAGCCAAGGTCACTGAGTAGGGATGGGTACCTTTGACATTTGAATCAATACGGTACCAATTCCCAGTACCTACGAATCAATACAGATACCTAAAGGTTGACTATGGAACATGGACAAGCTGGTGAACTCTGGTGTTCAAAGGTGGTATTGCAACAACAGGACTAATTTTTCTAGCCGCCGGGATGTTGCCGACATGTTCCAGCAACAAATCGTACAGGATAAGGACTAACTTGTACTAATACGTTTATTTTACAACAGTATTTACCGTTTGAACATCTTCTGGACTCAGAATCAGCTGCTTGACTTGTCAAGTCTGGTATTTTACACCGTCCCTCCCGACCTTGCCTTGCTGAGTAGACTTTTTAGCGCAGCAGTGCCCTCTAGTGTCTGATAGATGTAAACAAACAGTGTCGTGCCCGACGGAATAAAAATGTGATTATTTATCTTTTTAAATATAAGAGAAACTATATTCATTCTCCACACCTCTTAACGCCCCATGGAGGTATATATTTTTTTAAATATAGCTTTTTTATTAAAATGTTCCAATTCCCATACATTTGAGTGTTTAATAATCATTTAAAATCTCTCTACATTTTTCTCAATATATATAACCGATCCATCCATCCATCCATTTTCAACCACTTATCTGGAGTCGGGTCGTGGGGGCAGCAGCCTAGGCCAGCTCCTCTGAGGGAATCCCAACGTGTTCCCTGGCCAGCTGAGAGACGTAGTCCCTCCAATGTGTCCTGGGTCTCCCTTTAAGTCTCCTCCCAGTCGGACGTGCCCAGAAAACCTCACCAGGGAGGCGTCCAGGAGGCATCCTGACCAGATGCCCGAGCCACCTTACCTGGTTCCTCTCAATGTGGAGGAGCAGCGGGTCTACTCCGAGCCCCTCCCGGATGACCAAACTTCTCACCCTATCTCTAAGCGAGAGCCCAGCCACCCTGCGGAGAAAGCTCATTTTGGCTGCTTGTATCCGTGATCTCATTCTTTCGGTCACTTCCCAAAGCTCGTGACCAAAGGTGAGGGTAGGAACATAGATCGACCGGTAAATCGAGAGCTTTGCCTTCCGGCTCAGCTCTCTCTTCACCACAACAGATTGGTACAATGCCCGCATCACTGCAGGTGCTGCACCAATCTGCCTATTGATCTCACGCTCCATGTTTTCCTCACTCATCAACAAGACCCCGAGATACTTAAACTCCTCTACTTGAGGCAGGACCTCATCCCTGATCCAGAGAAGGCATTCATCCCTGATCCAGAGAAGGCATTCTACCCTTTTCTGACTCAAGACCATGGTCTCGGATTTAGAGGAGCTGATTCTCATCCCAGCCGCTTCACACTCTGCTGCGAACCGCTCCAGTGAAAGCTGGAGATTATGTTCTGATGGAGCCAAAAGGACCACATCATCTGCAAAAATCAGAGACCTGATCCTTATTCCACAAAAAGGGTTCCCTTCAACACCTTGGCTGCACCTAGAAATCCTGTACATAAAAGTTATGAACAGAATCAGTGACAAAGGGCAGCCTTGGTGGAGTTCAACTCTTAATGGAAAGGAGCCCGACTTACTGTTGGCAATGTGGACCAAGCTCTGACACCGGCCATACAGGGACCTAACAGCTGGCCCCCTGGGGGACGCGGTTGATCGCCTTCTCCAAATCCACAAAACACATGTTAGATTGGTTGGGCAAACTCGCACGCACCCTCCAGGATCCCCCTAAGTTTATCGAGCTGGTCCAGTTTTCCACGGCCAAGACGAAAACCATATTGTTCCTCCTTAATCCGAGGTTCAACAATCCAGCAGACCCTCCTCTCCAGAATCCCCTCTGTAGTTGGAACACACTCTACGGTCCCCCCTTTTAACCCTCCCACTGTCTTTATGGGTGACCCCCCGTGAGGAAAGTTGACCATTGAGCAGGATTGATGGTTTATCTCTTGAGGTCCACTTGGCAGGGGTGAGGTGGTGCTCACTTTTTTTTTTTTATTTTTTTTTTATAGTGAATGAATGAGAAGTTTAATGAGAAATTAAAATCAATAGTACAATATAATATAACAAAGAAACATTTGCAGGTTTACAAGCAAACACACAACTTACACAATGCTAAGAATGGGCGCAGGCAGAAGCATAAGCTTATAAGCCCAGCCCCCCAAACCCTTTGAACTTAAACAAAATTTTAGAATAGCATACCGATTCCATAATTTTTACATCATGTTTGAAATGTATGGGAATATATTCAAATCCCCATTCTAGCTTTATAAAAAAAAAGACCTTTAATGTTTTATGCATTTTTTCATTGACTTGATTCATAATATTTAATCACATTTGATTTAAACATACCCTTAAACTTTACCATTGTTGAACAATCTTTTTGCTCCTGGTCTAATTTATTCCACACATCAACCCCAACACAAGAAATACAAAGTTGTTTCATTTTAGTTCTTACTTTAGGCTTTCTAAACATTTTATATCCTCTGAGATCATAAACACTCTCTCTGATCTGGAACAGATCCTGAATTTGTTTTGGCATCAAATTATACATCACTTTATACATAAACTGTGCAGTTCTTAATGTAACTAATTCTCTTAGCTTTAATACTTTTAAACGAGTAAAAAGTAAATGTGTATGCTCTCTACAAGCTGCTTTATTTACAAGTCGGATTGCTCTCTTTTGAATTATAAACAAAGGCTTTAAGTGGGTTTCGTAGGTATTTCCCCACACTTCAACACAATACATGAAATAAGGCAGAAATAAGGAACAATACAAAAGATATAAAGCTTTTTCATCTAAAAATTCTTTAACTTTATAGAGAACTGCTAATGATTTCGATAACTTTGCTTTAATTGAGTCAATATGCGGTTTCCAACTTAACTTTTTTTCTATGGTTACGCCAAGAAATTTTATTTCATTCGCTCTTTCAATTTCTGTATTATTTATTTTGAGATTTGTATCCACTGTAATTGCTCTATTAGTAAATATGATAAATTTTGTTTTATTTAAATTTAAAGTTAATTTATTTAAGTTAAACAAACACTTTAATGCATTTAATTCTTTCTCAACCTTGTCCATTAATGTTATTAAATCTTTCCCAAAACTTAGAACATTAGTATCATCTGCAAATAGTATGAAATGCAATGTTTTAGAAACTAAACATATGTCATTAATATAAAGAATAAACAACAAGGGACCCAACACTGACCCCTGTGGGATACCGGTGGTCACTGTCAGTAGCTGTGAATCAGTGTTGTTAATGTGGACATATTGGAGTCTGTTCTCTAAATAACTCTTAATCCAGTCATAGGCCACACCCCTGATGCCATATCTACACAATTTTTTTTATTAATAAGTCATGATTAACAGTATCAAAAGCTTTGGTCAGGTCTAAGAAGACCCCAACAGCATATTGTTTGTTGTCAATTGCATCAGATATTTTCTCCACTAGATCAACAATTGCCAGAGAAGTTGTCCGATCACGTCTAAAACCATATTGCTGTTCAGAAAGAATATCATGATGCTCAATAAAGTCATACAATCTTTTATGAAATATTGTTTCTAGTATTTTGGAGAACTGAGATAAAATAGAAATTGGTCTATAATTAGAAAAGTCATGTTTGTCTCCAGCCTTATAGATAGGAATGACTTTTGCAACCTTCATCCTTTCAGGAAATCTTCCTGATTGGAGAGACTGGTTACAAATATGTGTAAGTGGTTTGGCTATAATCTCAATGATTTCTTTTACAACCGACATATCAAATCCATGTAAATCTGCTGACTTT